CAACTTTAGATGTTAGTCAGGTCCATACGCTTTCAGGGTGTTACGGAACCCATCAAGAGAATTTTGAATAGCCGCTACGTTTAAGTTGCTCAAGAACCTTTTCAGACTTTGGAGCATATTTTTGCCAAACCTAAGGATCCCGTTACGGAAGAATAACGAACCGACGCTATTTATTCTATTCATTGCCATGACTGTGATAACGAGTATATCGGACAGACCAAACGTCAGTTTGTTACACGTTTGAAAGAGCATCAAAAAAGCGGTTTTCTTTTGCAAAAAGGAAAATTCAGCTTCATCGGAGCACACATGGCTAACAAACCATACAATTGCATGGGATAAGTCTAAAATCATCACCACTAATCGGCGTTACCCCTGCGCCTTTGTTTGGAAGCCTGGCATATTAACTTCGCCCATGCTCCTTTAAATCGTGATGATGGCGGCTTACTTCCTGACGCCTCTTTACACCTCGTCAGAAGAAAGGCAGCTAATTAGTGAACGTATAAAAGGACCTCTAGTTGCAGCGTTTAGATCACCCCTGATGAAGGCACTAGACAGGAATGTCGAAACGTTGGGTCTGTAAATTGTAACTTCTCGGTTGCATTCATTAAATCTTTGAACCAAGGTAGCCTCAAACCATGTCCATACGCTTTGTTTAAGAATTGTTCAAACTAATCAATTATTCAAGCCGGACTCGGACTCTCTTTTTCAGTCTCCTACTTGTGTTTAAAAACCTTTGCGATCCTTCCGGCAAAAATTCGTTCATTTCTGATACCGACTAAATTATACCGGCCGGAGTTACTAATTAACTTTTCAAGTTACATCAAGGTATTGCTTTCTGAACATATTCATTAAGAATTTTCAAGTTATCAGCACATGCAACACTGGGGTTATAAAAAAGATTGAAAAGTTGAGTACCGAGTGGGAAAACCTAGAATAAAAACTCCGCAAAATTCAACTTTGAGAGTTTAGCAGAACGTTTGAAAAATTTTAAGCAGTTCGAGTTGGACAGTTTGGAGTTTTGTTGAAAATGATACTTTCCAATTGGATCGTTGGCTTGCCAATAAAGTGATCCAATACTTAACAAATTCCTTTTAGAATATTTATTGAAAGCAAGTTCGAGGTATAGAATTTCAAAATTTTCTGCGTCTTTAAGCCTGACTCTTTCTCCAACACTGATGATAAGAGATCTTTCTTATTCAACGACCAAGCTGAAATTTTACATCTTAGTCAGGTCCATACGCTTTGTTTTGTTTAAGAATTGTTTAAACTAATCAATTATTTAAGACTCAGATTCCTTGTTAGTCTCCTACTTGTTTTTTTTAAAACTTTAGCGATCCTTCCGGCAAAAATTCGTTTTATTTCTGATACTCTCTCAATTATAACGGTCGGAGTTACTAAACTTTTCAAGTTGCAAAGTGGGGACATCAAGATATTGCCTTTTGAACACATTCATTAAGAATTTTTAAGTTATCGGTGCAGGCAACTGGAATTAAAAAAAGAGACTGAAATAGAAAGTTGACTACCGAGTGAGAAAACAAATGTAAACAGCGTAATGTAGACAGTTGAATGGAATGTGAAAATCGACTTTGATGGTTAAATATAACTTTGGCTGTTATTTACATGGTTTGCTAAGTAAAGAAACAGTTTAAGTGGATCATTGAATATTAATTATTGGTACATAATTTTCTACTATCACGAAAGTATAGTTTGTGTGTTAACTTGGAGTTAGAGTGTTCACATATGACATGTAACTTTCCTCATAGGGGCTGCTCTCATATAAAATTGATGACACAGGGGCTTAACAGTTTGAAAGGAGCCCAGAACGTACAGGATAGAATCTCATTTTCAGTGTGTCACTTGAATTCATTTCCACCCCTATATTGCATCAGAGGTATTCTTTTCTAACAAGTAGTTTCTGTCATTTCAATTACAATTTCAAATCTTGAAAGGTTCCAGGCTAGGATAACAGTAACAGTGCATTTGGTCCTTTTAGATTTCACCCTTGGTAGTTCACTTTTATTTGAGAGGAGTCCCTTTCTGTGGTAACTTGGTTTATAATACTGTTTCGTTTAGTTACAATATTTTCAACACAAGTTCTGAGTCAAATCATATTTGATAGTAATATAATTTGAAATTGATAACAGGATTTTGACACAACGTTTTAGTTGTTTTAGTGTCATTCATAGTGACAATGTGGGAACAGCCTTTGTGTTTGTAATGTATTTAACCGTTCAATAGATAGTCAAAAATAAAATAATTTATGCTCTGATAAGTGGCTAGGAGTTCACTCTGTCTGATGCAATTAATTTTGATGATTAGTATTTTTAAGACCTCGGTTAATAATTTTTTTCAAAACCTCACTATTCGACCAGGAAAGCAATAGGGCCGGTCTGAGTTTAATCTAATCTTTAAATCAATAACCAAATCTCTTAAAATAAGAATGAATTGAAGCATCCATAATTAAAATGCTTGGCGATTTCAACAAATCTTAAAACAATACTCAGACACTGAAAACAATTTTCAGTTCAACGCCTGGCATTCTTAAAATAAGATTGAGGTTGTTAAGTTCAAGGACCCAGATCTTGATTTTAATTGATCAACTTTTGGAGTGCCACATGGCCATCTATCTACAAACACATCGCAAAGCGATTCTTAACAACGAAATAGAACCTGGAGAATATAATGAAAGGTTCAACCAATCGTATTTAACACACTCTACACAAAATGTTCGTCAAGACACTACCACGAAAACATTTACTGCTTAAATTACATTACAAAACTTGTTGCACATTCGATCGTTTCATTGCGTTTCAGCGACATTATCGAGTTACGCCAGCGATGCGATATTGCACTTACACAATCCTCAAATGCTTTGATTACTAAGTTTTGGATAGCAGAAGCACTCCGATCAATTTCTTTCCTCGCATTGTTCGAGTCCTGTCGTTTCAAAGCCCGTTCATAACGCCACATCGCCTCTCCTGCCATGTTTACGCTTGGTTCACTGTCTTCCCCATAACTTACGTCATCAACTTTGAGAGGAACCGCTGACATGTGTGTTCTGAGTCGCCGTACCACGACAGCACATCGACCCAAATATAACGAAAAACTTTTCGTTTTTTGCATGGAAAATTTTCTTTAAGCGGAAAAGAAGAACGTAACATCGTTTTTAGTGCATAATTGAACAAGCTATGTTGAAAAAAATTACTTGATTTTGGGTTTCAGTTCTCCTGCAACACCGGGTTGGTTGGGACAGGAGCCTGGGGAGCCATATATGGGCTTGACGGATATGTGCCGCTCAACAGGGTATGCTTTTTGCCTCTCTGTCTCTGAAACAGGGTATAGAAATCACCCTTTTTCTCTGGAAGAGGGTATCTTTTGCTTTAGATTTGACTCTGGAACAGGTTCGCCTTTTCCCAGAATTCTGATTAATCACAAATCATAAACGGTATAAAAGAAGAAAGTGATTGTCTAAGAAACTGATTGTCTATGAGTGGATAACTGTCTGGAATTGGGTACCTATTTTCACAATTTTTGTCTGGACCAGGGTTGCAAATACATCTTTTTTTTTCTCTGGGAACAGATCCCCCCCGGGACAGTGGCCTTATCTCCACGAAGGATAAGTTCGGCTGCTGCGCGCACTACGTGAAATGAGGCTACCATTGAAATGATGTTGCTTATATAAATCCTGACCGACGATTATTGAAATACGACAAATTATATTACTGGAGTATAGATGTATTATCCAGGTGAGAGTGTTTGTCATTGCTCTTAGATCACGTAAGTTCTAGCCCATTTCCAACCTCGATGCAACGCAATCGTTTGTTTTTGTTTTGAACCACCCCTTTTGTTTAAATAGCGCCTCTAATTGGTCAGTTATTTTTACCTTGTTACGTTGTCTCAAAATACCTCGTGCGTTTTCTCCAATGAATTTGAAGAGCTTGTCAAAGTAATTCTGGTTAAAACAATTCTATACGTTTTAATCCGGCATGGAATCAGATGAATCCATTGATTTTGTAGATTCCGAGGCAGTAAACGCTTATGGATTGGTTGTTGCTAAAGAGGAACACGAAAATCCTTGCAAGTATTTCGAAGAAGGCGAAAATGTTGATCCACCACGTTTTCATCCATTCATCAATTTTTTTAAATTGAAGTTTACTATCCTTATTAAATAGGACCAAGAGTCAGTTGCAGGTTTCTGCCTGTGGAGAGCCGGGAGCTTGCGCGCGGAAGAGTGGTCGAGGTTGTTGTGCATGCAAAGCAGCAAATAAGAATCGTAACGCAAACTGTCAGTGTCGCTGACATTCCTGCAGTGAAGTGACTAAACTTAAAATAATTAAACGTCCGGCAGTCCGATATTTTTTCCATATTTCTCTTCGAAATCCAAAAAATATTTATACGAAAACATTCTACCTTTATTTAAAATCCTCAAGCGCTTCCAGGCAGCCTAAAATTTCGAACTTGATGTTTTTCGCTAACCCTGTTTACAGAGTACGAAGCCATTCAAACGCTTGACACTTAACTTTTCAATGACACAGCGGGACACGGTCCTCAAATAACCCCATATTTCTCTCTGAAATATACCAATTTTTCGTTGGAAAATATTCTACCTTCATTTACAATCCTCAAGCGCTTCTAGAAAGTGAAAAAATTCTAACGTCGTCCGTTTCGCTGACCTTGTACACAGAGTGCGAAGAGATCCAAGCGTGACACCAACTTGTTCAGCAAGTCCAGTCTTATCACGAAGTAAAAAAAATAGACGGACTTCTTTTTTGGGACACCACAAATGTAAACTGCTAATAAAATAAAGGCTATAGCAAATTCATCACAAAAAGAAAATGTTTAATCTCTTATGCTACAGTAGTTGCAAACGGTGCAATTGAAATATGAAGTAAAGAAAGTAACTTCCCTTGCACACTGCTGGCCGTATGAAAAAGAAAACACGCACATAACACTTTAAGAAATCAATGAATATCTAAATACAGCTACTTTTAAGTAATAAGCCGGCTGGTGTGTGTAATTTCACAGCTGGCTCCATCAAATCCTTAAAACAATTTTACTGATGCAGGTAAAGCCACATAGAATGTGGCAGAGGTCGGTTTGATGCACGAAAGCTCCCCAATTTTAAAAACTTGAACTAATTACCAATGTAACAAACAATGCATGTGTAGTACTTTCTAAAGCTACGTCAAGTGAAAAAGAAAGTGTAAGGACAGTTCGTTTTTGAGAATGTGGTGGATCAGGTTTGAATTCCATTTGGCAGCCATCTTGGAATCAAGTACGGATAGGTCAAATAATTATCTTCCTTCCTCTTTCGGTTCTTTTCTTGCATTTGAGGCTGAATAACATTCATGAGGTAAGTGTAATAACCATTGACGAGTTTGACGGCCTCAGGATCAAGAAGTTCGTTGCCGTAGTCAAACAAGGAGTCAAAGCGGAACAGCGAAAGGATGTTACTAAAGCTGGCTTCGATCTGGGGAGTGAAAATAGGAAAAAAGTTAGTTTTGACTATCTGATGTTCAAACTTAATCAATGTTCTACTCATCGTCTTTCTATCAAGTGTATCATGGCTTTTTAAATCAGTGGAGTACGAACGCACTAATTCAATAAATTATTTGCTACCGGAGTGCCTGCCTGACTAACCGACTGGCATAAAGGTTGATTGTGTTTACTGACTGCCTGAGATAGGTGTTAATTGCTGACTCCCTATGTATGATTGACGGGCGTGTAGGTTTAAACACTGTTTGCCTATCTGGCTCCTTGGGTAAATTTCTAAATCAACAACTGACTGACGGCAACTCGGCATGCCACAGCCATAACTGGCGTACAGTCACATCACTGCGTATGAATAGAATGTCTGAGGAAAACAGAAACGCCAAAAATACCCTGAAGGAAAATTGTCCCTCGAAGCAGATGTTTATGCTACCGTAGAGAGCTCATAAACTGTAACAGACACGTTTTCCCCTTCCACCTTATTCATTTTTTCTGTTTGGAAAAACGTTGTGTACAATGCATTTCCGATGTGCCCCTGAGTACATTGTGTTGGGGAAGGTCAATGAAGGAGCTAAATAATGATTTAGTCCAGATTCACGAAATTCAAACGTACGAGTGACCGAGTCGCGATTTTTTTTAGTTTTGCATCTGATTGGCTGAGAGGGTGGCACGAGTTTTCTAGACCAATCACAGCACACAGTAAAGCAAAACCAATGCAATCTCGGATTACTTTCGACACTCAGTTGAAAATTGCTCAAACGGCACAAGCTAAATCCACATGATTAAACCTGTGATCATGCCATATCCAGCGTATAGGTGTTCAATATGGTCGCACAACTTACGGAGGAAGTGTTTCTGTTTGGCAGACGTTGTACACCGTATTCGCCTTCCTTCAGCCTGGTATCGTTGTACAGTTTGGTTGGTAGGTTGGGAGTGTACAGACCATAGTCTGTCAGGGGATAGTTTACAGCAGCGTGTTGGACGCTCAGTTGTGAGATAATGCGGGTCACAATGTCACAGAGCTCATCTTTAGTCGCAATCTTTGAGGGTAATCCTTTGACCTGTTAAAACGCAGAATAAAGCATTTTATGTAGCACTGCGAACTTAACGTATTTCAGTGTTTAAGTGATTGAAGTCCAGTATTAAGTTTGTTTTGTCTGTTTTTTGTGTGTTTTGTTTTCGTTTTCTAAGTTAGTTGAGAAATGTGTTAAAAGGAAACAAATCGTTAAACAAGGTCGCATCAGGTCACATTCTTTTGCTTTAATAGAATCTGTATCTTTTCGGAAAATCCCAACATGGCGACCATCTTCGATAACGCCTCGCCCAAGCAACGCCATAACCCAGAATGTTTACAGTTGTGCCTCATCACAGGCTATCTCTTTAAGTTTTAATGATTTCAAAATGTTAAATGTAACACAATGTTATCTACAACGAAAACTCTTGGGAGAGGAATGTACGTCCGTTTGCCTAAGACGGTAACGTTACAATAATCGATGATTCAGACGCCAAAAACTGAGCTGACAACAGCAGGTACCCGCAGTTACACAGTGCACGCCATATATCCCTCCATCACTGGTCGAAGATCAAGATATTTAAGCAGACGAATTGTAGATATATAAAACCAAAGACAGCAAAAAACAAACCACTATAACAATCAGACTTTTTTACACTTACATAGATGGGGTGAAAAATCGTTCCAGTAGACAATTCACGGAGGAATGATCCAAACTCATAATCCTTTTTAACATCCTCATTGTCGTAATAATACCTGAGAAAACAGTACAATGCAAAACGTTTACTGACATTCCCTACAAGGTGTTTTCTAAGTTATAATTAGTGCTTTTTGTGGAGACAATTGAAAAAATCACCACTAAATTGGATATAGATAGATGGAATGATTGTATGGCAAGACTAGAAGTCATCATCGACGCCCAGGCTGCTTTTGCAACTACAAACATTGCCTTCTAAAGGAGAGTCAAAAGTTAGTGTTTTAAACCCGTACCTAGTACACAAAGGCATATCCTGCCACAAGCTATCTGCTGCTATTTGATTGTGCACTCGACCAGAAATCAGAAGGTCTAAGGTTTGACTACTCATTGGGGACATTGGACATCGGACACAGTATCACTCTAACGCAAGGATCATACTCGGTATAAACATACCTTAGAAAGCTAACTTTTTAAGACGCTGCAGTGCTGCGTCGACAGGCATGTAAAATATATAGTTTTAAAATAGTCGACGTGAACTGCCATCGCGAGCGTAGGAAAGCTGGTGTCACGAGGTTTAGCCCTTTTCGGCGGAACTGTGTTGTTGCTGTTATCCCAACACCCAAGGTAGATGGGCTAACATTATTAAACTAACTAGTGTTCTTAGTGAGTTGGTCTTGATAACTAGGAGTTAGTTCAGAGCTACAATTTTTTCCAGTATTTTCCCGTGAAGTAATACTTACAAGTCGACGTAATCCTTCACCATATTTTCGATAATTTTCAAAATTTTCTCTCCATCATCACGGTAAGGATAGTACGGAAGAAGCTTCTTGTCATCGACTCCGCGTTTCTATTCATCCAAAAGAAGTGAAAAAAGTCCACACTTGATTGTAAATGTATTACAGCACAACATACTCAATTTCCAAGCTATGTGTTTCCACAAAATTGCTCCTTTTAAAATTACTTTGCAAGCGCATGCACCGGGTTCGTAGGCCTATTCGTAGACTATTCTTGCTATGCTCGAGTTATAGTTAAATAAAACAGAATTCATTTTTGTTCTATTTATGTCGCTGCAGTTCTTTCCTTCCTTTTAAACAATAATTCAGGTAAGGTCATCATGTCAAAGACGCCATTAGAAATAATGGAGACTGGAGTACTATATATGGATCACTGTTTCAACTTGCATTTTGATTTGAGACGTGTAGTACATTATCTGTGAACGCTTTTCGAGTAAAATACTCGATCGAAGATGTCGTATTCATTTGGTATGATTTAAGGTTCCAACGTACATGTGTGTAACCGAATGTGAACAAAAAGGGGCGGCAGAAGAAGGCTTGATAAAAAGGGGAAAAGAAAAGAAGTATTAGGTACAAGTTTATTAAAGGACTGCATGAAAAAATATGAATTCAATTTTTTCTTCTGCTTAGGCTCTTTTGTTGGAGAAAAGGGTTGACTGTCTATTCTTCATGCGAATATATAGTCTGAATATTGTGGTCAATAGGAATACATTTATATGTCTTTTAAGCCTGAAAAAGTGTTTTGGTTGACCGAAATGTTTTGAATTTTTATAGGTTGAAACGTTAAAGGGGGAAAACCGACGCATCACATACCTTTATTTCGTTTCTAAAATCTGTGACATCCCATGTGCTTAATTTATGTGCTTCTCTAAGAATTCGGGTGGTTCCTTCATTTCCAAATGCAAACAGCTGATCCATAAACTCTCCTTCGCCAACAAGTTTTGGAGCACCAATGGTATTTGGGACTGTCACGTCCCTGCAGTGATACTTTAAAATTTGATGAAGTGGATGAGAGGACGACAGGGTGCGTTTCAATACCACGCAAAATGGCTCCATCAAAAAATGAACCTTGTAAGACAAGCATTATGGTTAAACGTCGTGTGGTATAACTACTTTAAAACAAATCTATAAGAAATTTTCGATATAACGCGCGCTCTGATTGGTTGAAATAGCGTGCTCTATGAGAGTTTATATAATAAGCTCAGTTATGCACGCATTCTGATTGGTTCTCACTTATGATCTATTGGAGGACAGACGAATAGATGACGTCATCATTAAAATTTTTTTAAAATTCTTAATATATAAAACAAATAGATTCCAAGTTGCCGTGCGTCTGTTCAGTAATAGATCACAGAGGACGTCAAAATGTGGTAAGAACATCAGTGACACACTCGGCTGCGCCTCGTGTGCCACTTTTTTGTTCTTACCACATTTTGACGTCATCTCTGATCTATTACTGAACAGACAACCGGCAACTTGGAATCTATTTGTTAAATAGAGCACGGTGATTGAAAATTGGCGGGTAGAATTTTACTAATTTTTGCTTCGGCGTTATCTTGAAGAATTTGACCTAAAGTCAGCGAAAAGAAAACGATCTATTTCTCTAAAATAAAGATGGACTACGCGGAGACAATCATTAATCACAGTGGTGTTTAAAATGCTAGTAAATTGCAAGTAAAGAAACGTTTCCGTCAAACTGCCGATGAAAATACAGCACTCGAGTAGCGAAATAAACAAGTGTCTCTCGACCTAACGAACTCTTTAATAAGTGGCGCTTCATTCATCACAGACGAAGTAATTACACTGTAAATGTAAAAATCAGCGAAAGGAAACAACACATGAGCTGTCTGCGTTTCTGAAAAAACGAGCTTTATTTTTGTGAAGATGTCGATAAAAGAGTATTGAAAAGCTTGCGTGAGGAGCGTACGCTCGTTCACCACAATAGCGATCTACGGTAATCTCGGCGGAGCAAACCTCAACAGTTACAATGCTCACTGTTCTAGTAATCCGTTTAACGATTGCTCTTGCATTCTCCCGATGTTCTGGGTGAAGCAGCCCAGTTGTTTTGCCCTTATCGCCATTTCGGGCAATCCCTTTGCTGCCGTAAATTGTTCCTCATTTCAAACTCAGCTCAGCAAATTAAAAAGTTTCAACAAAAGCTTCGAGCTCTTTCTTTCGCAATACGCCACAATTCAGCCGGATTTCATCGAACAATTGCCTTTTCCGATCCTATTTTTTGCATTAAATCGAAGGCACCCGTGGAATTCCCAGGAGTGCCTATAAAAAATTTCTAGTTGTGACATACCTTGCCAAGATGCTCCACAATTTGTGCATATCCGAGATCTGTAACCTGGACATTCAATTTGGCCAACATCCAGTTGTCATCATCATCAGGAGTGTATACAGATGAATCTGATGAGGAAAAGATGTTAGCTCAGCCAACTGGTTATTTCGTTTACTATTTGCAAAACAGTACTAGATTTATTACTATTTACCTATACTTCATACTGTCTACATGATTCATCCCAACTTAACAGACAGTTTAAATCAGACAGCAGACCTTTTTTTTTTTCGTTGACTGACTTCCTCTTTCTTATAATTTCGTTCTTTTCAGGCTATTTTGACCTGCTTTTTTCCCTCAAAGTGATTTTTACCTGACTCAGAAATAATCCCATGACTACTTGGCCAGCAGTTTAGTCGTTTAAAAAAAAAGGAAATATAAAATGATCACATTGCCCAAACTATTCGATTTCCGAAGTACGGCGAAACAAGGCTAACAAGATTATGGCGGAAAGGTAATGTTTAGTAAATATTAACTTCCTAAATCTTTAATACACTGAACCTGGAGTGTAGTCCATTTGGATGGCTACAGGGACAAGATCATTGGTTTTTGTCAGGAAATCTTGCTTAGACGCAAACAGAGCAATGGGAGAGAGTGTGTCCCACATTGTCCTGTTGGGATCATTGTCAGTAAGGTCCACTTCTTCTCTGGGTAGGTCGTCACACAACTCGTAACGAAGAACGTAGACTCGACCTTGATAAATGGCCTGAAAACAAAAGATAGATAAATAAATTGATTAAAATTTATAAATAATTAGACAAATTAGTAAATGAATAGAGAAATAAATATCAAAACTGAACTTTAGAATGGAGCTTTTCTCTAAACCCACTAGTTAGGCGACAGTTCTGGACTTAGTCTGTGTCCCCCCACGCAATTAGTCGGCTTAATTTACAAAAAAATAAAAATTATAATACCTTTGTTCTAAAGTTAAGCGCTTTAATAAGAAACTTTCCTTCGAACTGGTGCGGCTTAAGAAGTTGTATTTTAAAGCCTTTGGCTTTTATGTTTTGGACGGTAATAATACCTCTTCTAACGTGTCATCGCTTCCCAAAGCTTTTTGAACAGCACCTTCCCAGTCAAATTCTGGATTCAGTGTTTTATAGAGTGTGTCCCAATCCAACCCTACTGGACCTGGACGAGGATAAAGGAATGATTGAAAGAAAACAATGTAGGACATGTGCACACTTATTTTTATTTGTATTCGTTCCTGTCTTGTTATTATTGTTATCATCATCATCATCACCACCGTCATCACCATCATCATCATCATCATCATCATCGTCATTATTATCATTATATTCAATATGACTATTATCATCATAATGATTACCCTTTATCATCATCATCATCATCATCATTACCATCACCATCATCCATATAATCATAATCAATATCAGTTTTCTTGCCATAATCACTAGAAGATGGATGACAGTTATTTACATTGTTCTTTCCATATCATTACTGCTGAAAGAAAGTGTAAGAGCCGGCAAAGAGCCAGCGTTTGAAAAAACCTATCGAGTACGATCCAAAGTTGAAAAGTGGCTAAAAAAAGTTATCAATGTTTTTCTGTAACTTGAAAGATGGTAATTGTTCTTCTAGCGACACCATTATTAAAGGAAGTTTTACCAGCTTTGAGAGTCACTCGTCTCAGTGACATAGGGTTGATTCCTGCCAGACGCTGTTGAGTGAAGAACCTGTCACTTATCCACGTAGTCTTGTCGTCAATAAAGGCTTCGTACTTCGATGGCCGCCTGTTATTAACCTTGAAGAAAAAAACACAGAGGTTTGTTCTACGACTGAAGAATTCTTAGTCGCCAGTTCGAGTGATTCAGTACATAAGCTAAATCACATGCTATACATGTATGTGTATAGCTTACCTAAACTTTCGTTTAAAGCTGGTGTTGTATATTTTTTTGTCCATTAGCTTACACCAAGAAGCTTTGTCCGTCCATACTGACCATTAAATCTTAGTAGCAGTAATAGCTACAGAGGTGGATAGAGTACTAGTAGTAGTACTAGTAGTAGTAGTAGTAGTACTAGTAGTAGTAGTAGTAGTAGCAGTAGTACTAGTAGTAGTAGTAGTAGTACTAGTACTAGTAGTAGTACTAGTACTACTACTAGTAGTAGTAGTACCAGTAGTAGTAGTACTAGTAGTAGTAGTAGTAGCAGTAGTAGTAGTAGTACTAGTAGTAGCAGTAATAAACTTTATTTGCATGACCATAACATTTTACAGTGTTGCAAAAGGAAAACTGATTAATAACAAAACAAGGCTAATAATACTCTAATATTCTTCTTAGATACATTTCTTTTATTTGATATCGATAATGTATTACGTATATTTATAAATGTGGATATAAACTTTATAACTATCTTAGTTAGGCTGCAGTCATTAGAATTCATAAGAAGGTTTAAGCTTTCGTAGGTCGATTTTCTTTCGATGTCAGGTATTATTTCATTGATTCGATTTAAGAAATTTGTCACTGCAAAGTGCATCTATTGCACTGAAACAAGAAATTATTTTCATTTTCTACTTGATTTGATTTGCACAATGGGCAAAATCTCCTTTCTCTGGGTATATTATCATATCGACCAACTTCAATCATAAGTTTGTGATTACTAATCCTAAACTTCACTAAAGTTCGTCTCTCATTAAAATTTCTCAGCTGGTGTAAATAATCAGATAAAGAGTATTCCTCTTTAAAAACTTTGTAAAATTCAATTTTTTCAGAATGTTTAAGGCTATGGCGCCAGAAAAATATATATTTTTCTTTTATAGTAGTTGTATATTGCTAATTTGATCGTTATCAAAAGATTCAGGACCTAAGTTAGATGAACGGTATTGTGCTATCATGCTCATAAAATTGGAATAAAATCCCGAGTTATAAAAGAGATGTAGATTCTTCGACATAAGAAAAGATTGTTTTACTATAGATTCATCATCTTTGTTTTTTAAATAAACAAAATATTTCGTAATTTTTTCATTAATTGGAATAGTTAGAGGTAATCTTCCAAGTTTAGCTCTACAGGCTAAGTTCGAGGCCTTATTGTTTACTTCTTGGTAACGTTTGCTGAACTGGAGATGAATTTTTTCTATCGGGGAACTATCCCATTTTTTAAAATTCTGTTTAGTATACATACCCCATACCTCACTGTTGTAGCTTAAGATCGGAAATATCATAGTGTCAAAAATCTGCAATGCGGTATTAGGGTGAAGTCTATCAAGAAGTGTATGTTTTCGTATACTGGAGAATGCGTGTAAGGCTTTTTCTTTTAAGTGTTCGGTTGCAAGGGTAAAGTTTCCAGTTGGAGTTAAACGTGTGCCTAAATAGGTGTATTCTTGAACAATTTCAATTGTCTCGAAGCCTATCTTGAAACTTATATCAACGGATTTCCTTCAGCGTTTTTGAAATCTCATTGTTTTAGTTTTTTCGGAGTTATTTGAAGCATCCATGCTTTGTAATATTAAGAAAGCGTATTCAAACAGTTTTGCAATGCTATTTTGGATCTTGATAGGATAATCAAATCATCTACATATAATAATGAATTTATTTTGGTTCTCAAAAAGCAAAGAATTTCAGACCGAAAAATCTCTGCAACTCGACGAACTAACACTGAATCCCGACAAAGCATCGTTTTGGAGTTGTTTGAAATCTAGGAACGATACTGTCGCCCAAAATGCTCCCGCCCCAATCTCGGAAGAAACTTGGCTAAAACGCTTTCAATCTTAACATTCTAATGAATGAAGAAGTCTATACAGAGCTACAGTCATTAGAAAAATATAAAGAAAAACTTAACTATTTAAATCATGAGATAAGCAAGAAATACGTCAAGCAGTGAAGAAATTGAAAAATAAGAAATCTCCTTTCTTTGACAAAATAAGAAGAAAGAAGAAAGTAAGAAACGAAATGATCAAATCGAGCCTTGAATCACTTCTGCCTGTTTACATCAAACTTTTAACCTCATTTTACAATGTGGAAAAATACTAGATATTTGGTGTCAAGGCCTTATAAGCCCAATCTATAAATCGGGTGACAAGAGTGACCCAACAAACTATATAGGCAATGTGTATCTAGTTGCCAGTAGTATGTAGTAGTAGTATGTAGTAGTAGTAGTAGTATGTAGTAGTAGTAGTAGTAATCAATAAACAAACAAACAAACAAACAAACAAACAAACAAAAAGTGAGTCATACCCCTCCAGCCATCGCAGACATTTCAAAGAACTTTGACAAAATCCGGTAGTTGACGTTGTGGCTCATTTCTTCATCGGTGGTTTTATTGAACAAACTATTGTAAACGATACCGCTTAAGTCGGCGGTAAGGAGAGTTTGAAGGTATCCCTCTAAATAAAACCTTGTGAAGGGATTTATGAAATCACGACCAATTAGTGTCAGCGGGTCCAAATTTAACAGAGCGTATCCATAGGGGCTAAATTTCAACTTCCATTTTCCTTTCATCTCGAGAAGTTCCATAAACCTCTTGACTTTGCAAACAAAGTTACTCCTTTGAGGAAGAGAGACACTGCATTCCAGAAGCAATCCGAGCCTTAAAAAGAAAAGATTATTTGCGTGACTATAAACTTTACAGTATTGCTAAAGCTTATACAATTATTCTAAGATGTATTCGAAAATCAAATTACATCGATAACAATTCGTCTTGAAAATTGAAGCAAGATGTAATAAATCTTAATTATAAATTACGAACATAATTAGAAAAATTCATTAATTCTGTGGTGTGTTGATTGACAGGTAACTGCCTAATATTTGGAATCAAAGTCTGTATTTAATTGTAAAAAGTATACCTTATTAATGAGTATTTGGAACAGTGGAAAAGAAAATGGATTTCGTCTTCGATCTGATTAATTAGATCCTCAGACTTGGCAGAGTCAATAATCTGTAGAGATTTGGTTGTATCTGCCAAGTTCAATCATGAGTTTTTGATTGCTTCTGCGTGGTTCAGTTAAGACCCTTCTTTCAGATGTTCTTGTAGTTAGGTCTAGATAATATAATGTGGAGGAACATATTCGATTTTAAAAATTATATAAAATCCTAGTTTTTGAGAATGGTGAAGGGTTTGTTGCCAATATGAAATATATTTCTGTTTCATTAAACTTACGAAGTGTCTGATTTCAGCGGTGTCTAATAAATCAGGGTCTTGGTGACTAAGATTAAAGTATTCGGACATCTCCATAAGCCTAGAGTGAAAGCTATTTTTACCAGAGGCGCGAAGATCTAATGACATCAAGAAGTTTAACAATAAAGTCTTCGTGTTTACTTTGGAGTTATAGAATGTCTAGGTATCATTTGCAAAACTGTAGATGCGTTTTTTTTTCAATTTGTGAGTTATCCCACGCCTTAAATTTAGACTTAGTTTACACAGCCCAGATTTCAATGTTGTAAGTCAGAATCGGGGAGATCATTGTATCAAAATTTTAATATGGTTTGAGCTTGCTAAAATCCGTGTATCTTCTTAGACTGAAAAGAGCATGAAGTGCTTTCTCTTTTAGGTGGTCAAGTGTTACTGAAAAATTTCCTTATGAAGAAATTCGAGTTTTTAAGTACGTATACACGGTGCTCTTGCACAACATCAATAATTTGGTTATCTATATAAAATCAAAATTCAGTGCGTTTTCTTGCGCGTTTTTTAAATAACACAATCTTGTTTTGGTTTTTTTTTTGGGAGGGGGGATTTATACTTAATATCTACGAGCTGTAGTAGGAAGATAGTGTTAAGACAATTTTGTAGTCCTGTTTTAGATCGCGATAATATGATCAAATCATCTGCAATATAGAAGGGAATTTAATTTTTCGCCGTTTGGTAGAACAAAAGGGTCAGATAAAGTATGTTGAAAGGAGAATGGTAGATTAATGATACAAAGATTAAAGAGCAATGGACTTAAAATACAACCATGGCGTACACCTCTTTGCTTACTGAAAGGATCTTGTTTTCTTTTGACCAGTTTTGATTGAACATGAAGATTTGGAATAAAGGCTTTTAATCAAACTATAAAAGCAGCCTCACAGATTGATCGTGCCAGACTGAGTCAAAAGCCTTCCTGAAATCAACAAAACAAGCATAGACTTTTTCATTGTGATTATGATCGCGTTTGTCTATCAAAGTTCGTTGTGTAAAATATGGTCTGCTGTACAATTTTATTGGTAGAAAGCCAATCTGAGATTTGTGAAGTATATTACGAGAAACGACACGCTCTAGAAGTCTTTGGTATAAGATAGAGCAAAAAAGTTTTCCCAGGCAGCTTGAAACACAGATACCACGGTAATTGGACGGGTTACTTCTTCCACGTACCTGGTTTCTAAATCGGTGAAATGAGACCACCACACCAGGCCTGAGGCATGGTGCCCGAATAAATAATTGCATTAACAAGTTTGTAATATACGGGCAACATATCATTAAGACTGGCGTTAATCATTTTATTTTTAATTTTATCTAAAAAGGGAGATTTTATATTCTTCAATTTTTTAACAGCTGTGCGTATTTCATTTTCGGTAATCAAGTAATCTAAACGACGAGACTGCTTTTTTACGATCTTCTTGTTCCCGTAATTCATCACAAATGAACTGTTGAGCGGGATTAGGCGGTGCATCGGAATGAACGGACTGGAAATACGACAGCCAATTTTCTTCCGAGACTAAAGGAGCATGTTTTGCTTTCATGGTGTCATCCATTGACTCAAGACATTTCCAAAATTTTGTCATATCTGTATTTTTTGCAGAATCTTCCAACTGAAGAATTTTGGCATTGTACTATTCGTTCTTTTTAGAGTGGAGCAATGTTTTGTATTGTGTTAGAACGGCGTGGTACTCCTCACGTAAAATGAGATCCAAGGGATCTCTGTGTTTTTGGTTCTTAATTCGTGTCTTCCAAAGCTACATTCCCTAACAAACCATTTTTATACTCGAAACGCTTTTATTTTAAGTCAATTTAATTTTTGAACATTGTTTAGCGGTTGTGATGAGAATATTTTCTACTTTTTCAAGCCAAGTGTTCACGTCGTGAATTTGTGTTCTGTCGCTTATGTACTCCCGTATTAGAGTTTGGAGGACTGGAGAACGTCTGCAATCTTTGAATTTTTGTGTGGAATCATTTTCCTAAACAAATGCTTTGATTATCGCATAATTACACGAACACGAAGTCCGTGCCATATGCGCCTTCTAAACAAAATGGGCATGCCTTTGTAACGAAAACCATGACATGCCCATAGTAAAATTAGACGTATTAACTAATTCTTTCTTTACATACAGTGATGTATGGAATACGGCTATAACTTATGAGTCTAACGCTAAAAATTTTCGTTTGCTTATTTTGTTTTTGTTTATTTTTCTTTCGCTATGTTTGGTTTTGCGCCCACTTTTGTTTGTGATGATTCAAATATATTTATATTTTCTTCTCTAGTATACGCTGGTTGTTTATGTTTATACGTGTTGTGCCGATTTGTAATTGAGAATTATATGTATTTAAAAACTTGTTTTCAGTCATACTAAATTCACGTCGTCCCTCGCCAGGCTTGATATGTTACTTACAATTTAGCCATTTTTTGAATCCATTCCAAGTCTTTAACTGATATGTCCATCTTCGGTACTTTCTTAACTGCGTGAGGCTTATCGTCTTGGCCAGACGACAAACTAGGAAAAAAATTAAAGAAAAATATCTTGTATTATACTCTTTTTTATGTTATTATAATCTTTTTTATATTAAATGACAAGCATAAAATAAAGGTGACAAAAAAAAAGGAAGCTCACCGAAATACTTAAGGGCACGTTTTGTATAACATTAACAGTGGTTTTCTTACTTCATGACGCACATCTCTCGGTTTGTAATAATCAGCAGTTCTTATTTATAACTGTTCCAAAATAACTTAAATCCACACCGTTAAAGTCATCAAGATTGTTGTATACATATAGTATACGCCGGTTGTTTATGTTAATAGGTGTTGTGCCGATTTGTAATTGAGAATTATATGTGTTTAAAAACTTGTTTTCAGTTATACTAAATTCACGTCGTCCCTCGCCAGGCTTGATGTGTTACTTACAATTTAGCCATTTTTTTAATCCTTTCCAAGTCTTTATCTGACATGTCCATCATCGGTACTTTCTTAACTGCGTGAGGCTTATCGTCTTGGCCAGACGACAAACTAGGAAAAAAATTAAAGAAAAATATCTTGTATTATACTCTTTTTTATAAGAACCTTTTTTATTGAAACAGAAAGGCTGAGATTAACCACAATTTTTAAGAACGTATTGAGAACATTCCTCAGGCTGAGGGTCGATTAAGAACGTTATTTTGCTCATCTGTATATTAAATGACAAGAATAAAATTAAGGTAACAAAAAAAAGAAAGCTCACAGAAATACTAAAGGGCACGTTTTGTATAACATTAACAGTGGTTTCCTTACTTCATGACGCACATCTCTCGGTTTGTAATAATCAGCAGTTCTTATTTATAACTGTTTCAAAATAACTTAAATCCACACCATTGAGGTTATCGAGATTGTTGTATACGTATGGTATACGCTGGTTGTTTATGTTAATAGGTGTTGTGCCGATTTATAATTGAGAATTATATGTGCTTAAAAACTTGTTTTCAGTTATATTTAATTCTCGTCGTGCCTCGCCAGGCTTGATGTGTTACTTACAATTTAGCCTTTTTTTTAATCCATTCCAAGTCTTCATCTGAAATGTCCATTATCGGTACTCTCTTGACTGCGTGACGCTTATCGTCCTGGCCAGACGACAAACTAGGAAAAAAATTAATGAAAAAGATCTTGTATTATACTCTTTTTTATTAGAACCTTTTTTATTAAAGCGGAAAGGCTGAGATTTACCAAACTTTTAAGAACGTTTTAAGAACATTCCTCAGGCTGAGGGTCGATTAAGAACGATATTTTGCTCATCTGTATATTAAATGACAAGAATAAAATAAAGGTAACTGAAAAAGGAAGTTCACAGAAATACTTAAGTGCACGTTTTTTATAACATTAACAGTGGCTTTCTTACTTCACGAGGCACATCTCTCGGTTTGTAATAATCAGCAGTTCTTATTTATAACTGTTCCAAAATAACTTAAATCCAAACCGTTAAAGTCATCAAGTGATACAAAGCATTATCAAGGTAGTTGATAGGTATCCTGATCACATCCACATTGATTTATGAAATACTGTATACCATGCAAATTCAAGAACATCTTAAGAAAGTTTTGAGCCTCAAATCGCAAAAAAAAAACGTTCAGCCTCAGCTCCAACAGTAGACGTTCTTATTAAAAAAAAAAAAATTGAGAATACCAAAATTATTGTAAGATGAGATTTGAGCTGTGGTGTACGAGGCGGGAAACAGAAAGAAATGAAAATAATAAATAAATGAAGTAAATTAAATAAAATAAACGAAAAATCTCAACAATGCATAATACTGAAAAGGTGCCGAGCTTCGTGACTGCCAATTTGTTAACTTCTCATTTTACCACTTATCGTTTTGCTGTGCAAATCACCGCAAAGGTTTCTATTTTGCTTGTAAATTCTGCGTGGCAGTTGAGATCAGACATGTGGGAAATGGGCTCAGACATGCAGAATTTCTTCACATGCTCGAGCTGGAACGTTTGTCGCAGGTTAATCCTGTAATTCCAATGCAAGTTCTACCAAGAAACAAAGCTGTTACAATACAAACAAGTAAATGTGGGTTTGATGTCCTCGAGCAATGCGTCCCCGAAATAGGGCTTTAAGTTTCCTTTTAACCATGGCTTCTACAAATTTGTTTTCGAGCTCGCTGTTGTCGGCGTCCTTATTCTTAAGATCTTAATTTAATGAGGTCTCCGCCCCTTATATTCGAATTCCGTGCGCCTGTGGTTTTAAGCAAGCAGTTATTCTAATTTGAAGATATTTATTTGCAAATAGCTCTATCAGAACTAGTTTTAATAGAATTACAAAAAAAGTGATAAGATTGATAAGATTAAAAAATAGTACTGGTTTTATAAATAGAAGAGTTGGAAGCTCCCTACCATAACAAGGAATATTTTAATTACACGAAAGAAAATTTACCTCGAAACTGCACCATAACAGGCGACTATGAATACTATACCAAGCAAAATATTCGCGTTCATAACTGACACCGAAATTGCTCACTGTCTGTATGTGGCCTTTGTTGTCTCAGGACTTGAAGCCTGCTGTTTCTTGGCAGTCAGTGAACCTATTTTTCAGGCAAAGAAATTTCATAGGTCAAATACAAACTGTATGTCTATATATAGTGAACTATCGGCCCACTTTGTAAATCACAGCTTTATATTTTGGTTTAGCTCCTAGGTGGCAATTATTGAGATTGGACTGGTGGCGACATCAAGTTAAATTGGCAGGGGGGCTTATTATTCGTGTGTAGCGAAGTGGAAAATAGCAAGGCAAAGAGCGCCACCTTGTTAGCCTTTTGCCTCTGTTTCAAGACGAGTCTACGTGCACCATTCAAATGATAATACGTTTCACTCGATCCCATGCCCATTTTCATGTAAATCAAACTCATTTTCATTTGAATGGTTTGTACTTGGACTCGTTTTTAAACGGAGGCAAAAGGCAACTCGGAAATAGCCTATTACGCATGGCGTCATTTGTGAATGTCTACGACCAAGGGTGGTGTGACAGGGAGTGAAAAGTTTTTTTGTGAAAAGACTCGTCTTACTTTGTGAATTTTTAACCATAAACCATTTACTTCTCTTATGTCTATTTAAACGAAAAGAAATACAGATGATTGAAAAAGAAAAAAGAGCAATTGAAACAACTGTTCTACAAGCCCTTTAAATGACTCAAATTGAAATTAAAATTGCTACCTGTCAGCTTCGATCGATTCAAACCAAGCGATGAAGCGTGGAAAAATTAACGCGAAGAATTTATGGAAACAAGACATTACAAAAAATGTACATATTTTTGTTTTAAACTTTGATTGCATCACGTGCAACATAGCCCAAATTCAATTTTTCCGAGTGTGCTGTCATACGCTATTTTTTGTGTTTGGCAGAATCCGAATGTTAAGGCCCTGTGAAATTTTAGAAATGCGTCTCACTAGCTGTCCGTAAGATATACGTTATCAAGAAATTTTAGACTTCAGCTGCCAAAATGTTTAGTGGAATTGTAGCATCTTCTACACCCAGTCATATTTACAACCGCATCGAATGAATCAACCTATTTACGGCAAAATAAACTTAGGTAGATTTAGTTATAACTGGAAAAATGATTCACGAAAGTTACAATTTACAAAACACACACATTAATGAAAATACTTTATATATCAATTCCTATAAGTTAATAGACAGGCCCACTCACCTTCGATCGGAGCTATGAACTGACCAGAAGCTGTTTACACCCGGAGAGGTGGAATAACAACTGTGGTAAGTAAATGGTAGCGTTGGTTTTTATGACTGTTACTGACTGTATTGTTTGCCCAAGGTGACACTTCAATAAACTATTGTCATCAGGCATTAATTTTCATCAAGATCCGACATGCCATCAACAAATGAAAAAGTACATTGTAGTCTTCTCATGATGTGTCACGGATGGGAGATCATAAAACGGCGCGACGCCCACAGCTTATACTTAAAAATATCGATTTGAAATTCTTGAATCGACCCAAGCAACAAGTTTATTAACTACTTGACTGCCCCTTAATTTAGCCCCAATAAGTATACCATGAAGGAAGGTGATACCAGTTTTTTGTTTTCAAATGTATCATTCCAGATTTTTTATTGCGTGCTACAAGACTTGCTATGCAGCGAAGTGAAAATTGAAAAGAATAGTTTATTTTGTTTCGTTTCCTTTCATTTGCTTTTTTTTCTCTTTATGTAGCGTGGAATAATAGGTATGAATTAAGTAGACGCCCGGGTTGATATAAGAGTCACGCACATTTGTTTTCCAGCCTTTTTCATATGAACAGACGTAATCTACACGTCAGATACTGCCAAATACAGAAGAAAAATCACCAAACTTATTTCTGTAAATTGCATTTCACCCGAAACATTTTTCTGCTGATTTATTTTTGGACTTGCAAGGACACTTTGATATTTGAAAGCACCCAAGACAGCGCTTTGTCAAAGAGTAGTGAAGTGGAAATTTTTCAGACAAAGAACTGAACTAAAAATGTACTTCCTACGACTGGCGTTATTTCTTTCATCTAAGAAAGTTAATTATCAACTGTGTGACTGCCTCATAGTTTAACCCCAGCAATTACACCATGAAGGAAGGTGGATACCATTTTTTTCTTTTTTTTTCCAAATGTTTCATTCAAAATTTTTCATTGGGTACCGCCAGACTTGCTGTGCAGCGAAGTGAAAATATAAAATTATCAAGATCCGACATGCCATGAAATAGGCGTTGGTTCTTATGAATATTACGGATTTAAAACAGCCATTAACTAACTATATTATTTGCCTATGGTGACACTTCAATAAACTATTGTCATCAGACATTAATTTTAATCAAGATCCGACATGCTATGAAATAAATGAAAAAGTACATCGCAGCCTTGTTATGATGTGTCACGGATGGGAGTTTATGCAACGACACGACGCCCGCAGCTTATATTTAAAAATATCTATTTGAAATTCTTGGATCGATCTAAGCAACAAGTTTATTAACTACGTGACTACCCCTTAGTTTAGCCCCAATAAGTATACCATGAAGGAAGGTGGTACCAGTTTTTTGTTTTCAAATGTATCATTCCAGATTTTTCACTGCACGCTACCAGACTTGCTGTGCAGCGAAGTGAAAATATAAAAGTATAGTTTGTTTTGTTTTGTTTTGTTTTTTTCATTTGCTTTTTTTTCTCTTTATGTAGCGTAGGTATGAATTAAGTAGACGCCTGGGTTGATATGAGAGTCACGTTCATTTGTATTCCAGCCTTATTCATATAGCAGACGTAATCTACCTATCAAATACTGCCAAATACAGAAGAATAATCACCAAACTCATTTCTGTAAATTGCATTTCACCCGAAACATTTTTCCCGATTTATTTTTGGACTTGCAAGGACACTTTGACATTTGAAAGCACCCAAGACAGCGCTTTGTCAAAGAGTAGCGAAGTAGAAATTTTTCAGACAAAGAATTGAACTAAAATTTGTACTTCCTGCGACTGGCGTTATTTCTTTCATCTAAGAAAGTTAATCATCAACTGAGTGACTGCCTCTTAGTTTAACCCCAGCAACTATACCATGAAGGAAGGTGGATACCATTTTTTTCCTTTTTTTTTCAAATGTTTTATTTCAGATTTTTCATTGGGTGCCGCCAGACTTGCTGTGCAGCGAAGTGAAAGTGTAAAATCAGTAAGATCCGACATGCCATGAAATAAGCGTTGGTTTTTATGAATATTACTGGTTTAAAACAGCCATTAACTGACTGTATTATTTGCCTAAGGTGACACTTCAATAAACTATTGTCATTAGACATTAATTTTCATCAAGATCCGACATGGCATGAAATAAATGAAAAAGTACATTGCAGCCTTGTCACGGATGGGAGATCACACAACGACACGACGCCCACAGCTTATACTTAACAAGTTGCCGTGCGTGAAAATATAAAATCCTTAAGATCCGACATGCCATGAAATAGGCGTTGGTTTTATGTGTTGTAGCGTGGAACAATAGGCATGAATTAAGTAGACGCCTGGGTTGATATTAGAGTCACGCACATTTGTTTTCCAGCCTTTTTCATATATGAGCAGACGTAATCTGCATGTCAAATACTGCCAAATACAGAAGAAAAATCGCCAAACTCATTTCCGTAAATTGCATTTCATCCAAAACATTTTCGATTTATTTTTGGACATGGCGAGGACATTTTGACATTTTGAAAGCACCCAAGACAGCGCTTTGTCAAAGAGTAGCCAAGTGGAAATTTTTCAGACAAAGAACTGAAGTAAAAATGTAGTTCCTGCGACTGGCGTCATTTCTTTCATCTAAGAAAGTCAATTAAAATTTCATGGGAAGCGTACCGATGCAAAGAACTCAAAGGCTTAAACTGTGACCACCATGCGTTCGTTTACTGTTTGTTTCACATAATGCAAAAAAAAAAAAAGAAAAAGGGAGTGCCTCATAACTGAAATTCACCATTTTTACAGCCATCAATGAATCACCGTCCGCGTCGTTTATAATACTGGGATGACATTATTGTCTTTGTTACCAGTTCACCACTTAAAGGCGCTGTAAGACAATAATGCGGCACTGTGTGATATCTAGGACAATTGTTATCTTTCATCTCACTTCTTTTACTTTGTCGAAATGAAAAAGGAGTAAGAAAAATGTTAATACCCAACACTATGCAACTCAAGTCTATCATTCTGCTTTTTTTTCCTTATGGGAAGTAGGGGTAAGGGGAAAAGGGAGTTTAGATTGCATGGGCCGGGTAATGTAGGTGGCAGTCTCGTTCCCAGAGTTCTCGAGCTCCTTGGTCAGCGGTTTGGTCGCCGGGAGACAAAATTATGTTATTATTGGTACAATTAACCATGGATTTTCCACCAATCACAACACTTTTTTAAATGCTAGATAAGCGACTAAGCTCTGAGAGAATACAGAGCAAGTTCTGTTGACCGGGCCTTGTGTGAGGAGGCACTAACTCTATTAACTCTATTAATACGATACTTATTTGATATTCACTTAGACAGCAGAGTTTTTTGTGTTTAGTTTGTTATTTCGAAGAAAACTTCAATGTCAGATGGAGAAAAAGAATAACTTCCAGTGAAAAATTTACACTATTCATCCGAATACTCGTGTTCCCGACTCGTTATTTGCACCAATCAATGTTTTCTTAGAATTAGAGGAAACCACGAGATAAAAACATGATAATAATGCAAAAAGAAGATTTAAGGCTGATCAAGATAGAAAGTTCGACATAGTTGTGAGCAACAGACTTTAAAGATCAATGATACTGTTTCTCTTTTAAGGGGGGGTGGTCAGTTAGGCGCCAAGTGAGACGTATCAGTTCAACCCTTTAACCCCTAAGAGGGTTTGGCATTTAATTTCTCCTCACCGTATTACCGCTGAACCAAACATCAGAATCATGGGAATAAAGGAAATAATCACCAAGTTATAAAGCTCTTGATTGTCAAACAGTACCACACGGTATCTATAGAGAACAGTGAGGAGAATATCTGTACTGATGCTAGTGAGTAAAGAGTCATAATGTAGCCTGTTGTTAGGACGATTTCCATCTTGATCTCGATTCAGGACTGACTCATGTTAAAAAAATATATTAACAAAATTGTAAGCTTTATATGATAAAAAAAGATAGAGAATGCGAAATGCGAGTATCATAACAAACTGAGATCGCTCGTGTCTCAATGTTAGTTAAACTCACCAAAATAGCAGCTTGTTCCGTTTCCTTGGTACCAGGAATTGAAGCTACATCGATAGGAACCAACGGTATTGTTGCAGTAGGCATTGACGTCATAGTCATGCGATTTATTGGCACATTCGTCGACATCTGAAAGAATGCATTAAAAAATAAATGGTTTGAACTCAAGAGCAAGAGTCCATCGAAAATGACGGTTATTGGCGAAAGTGTCTCGCCTTATAAGCAATTGAACATGACATTGCTTGGGGGACAATTCTAATCGGTCATAAAGCAATTTTTTACCGAGTGTCCAGGTTAAGCCGGGATTGTTCTGGTTTTGCTTTGTTTAAAATGAATTACTTGAGGCAATAATGAAAGTCATTTCAATAACTTACCGATACACTTTTTTCCGTTTCCAGTAAAACCCGCTTTGCACGAGCAAATGTGAGAACCGATGGTGTTCACGCACTCTGCGTTGACGTCACACACGGGAATTGTTGAAATACATTCGTCCAAGTCTTAAAAAAACAACATAGTTTGCGATCGGTTGAAAAGCAAAAGGAGGGTATTTGCTGAATTAGGACTCGTTCGTGGATTCATCAGACCAAATGCTTCTCACATATCTTCCGGCGGAAGCCAAAATTTACTCTGCCGCTCCTTCAGGAAGCAAAATTTCCCCTCCCCTATTCGTGAAATTTCGTCACCATAATTATTATTATTGAATGATTATCTCTGGGTCAAAAAAGAGATTTTTCAATTCTATTTTACCTGTTCTCAAATCGATCGGTTTAAGAGAGATGATTGCATTCTTCCATAGCTTTGTTTCCGTCAGATATCTTACTATTTTTATTTTATTTTGTTTTGCTTTATTTTTTCATTTCCCCCTACGAGTAAATTGATTTTTTTTGAAGAAGAGAAGGAGGGGGGCTGGGGGTTGCAATCTACCCATAAAATCTCTGTCAACGCTTTTGTTAGTAGTAAACCGTTTTTGGTCGGTAGAAGATGTGAATTGATAAACACTTGAATTCACCTTCGGTTTTCATGTCACAAGGAGCCATAGCGGTCCTCTAGGGTACAATCGAATGAAACCAGTATTTGCCGCTGACCACTTGTCCTCCTTCGCTCATTTTGATTTCCTGGCAGGTCTCCGCAGGCAGCTCAGGAATGGAACCGAGAGGGATTGGAAGAAAAAAAAGCAACATTAGCATAGCACTCCAAGTAAGCAAGACTTGATGTTCCTCTTGGGGGCGAGGACGCTCATATTGAGGGCGACTTGACTTAGGGCAAGAAGTTTGGTGATGTGAGACAATTCCTTAATTTTGGGTTGAGTTTTTGTGCTCTGAAAATGTCTTTAAAGCGAATAAGACAGTTCAAAGTGTAAAAACCTCTTTTGTAATCTCGCTTAAAGTAAAATCTCTCAGGGTTCGGAACACAATACTCTGGTTTGGCCTCCTGGGTTCGGTTGTTCAGCTCACAAATGTCTCGTCTTCATCTGAAGTCAGCATAGCATCCCCGCAAGCTCACATCTGAAAGACCAGCCCCTGTGATTCTCTTCATGATGTGGTGTTGTAGCATCATACCAAATTTGGAAACTTCCGGCTGGCCCGTAGCCGCCAATTGCTATGCAGCTGTACAGCATAACAGCACACTTTTGATCAACAACCCTGCTGCGTACAAGACCTTTAAGGCCGTTTTCTCTCGATGCATGTTTTGGAAAAAAACGTTCACTGAAAAGAAAAAGGCAAAAAATATTCTGGTGCTAAAACTTTCGCTAACCTTCTTTTTAGTCTATAGACTGGTTTTTCGTGAGTTCACGATCAACATGCATGCTTCTATGTTTGTTATTTGACTTTATTTTCATTTGTTTATTTTTAAGAATTGCAAGCTCAGAAAAGTTAGATGTATTTGCCAAAACGGACCTTAAATTTGAGGAAAAGGGGTGTTTGTTCAATGCTAAAACGTATTTTGTCATTCGATATTTGTTATTTTTTACCATTAGCTTGATTTGTGCGATCCATCCGGCAAAAATTCGTTCCACTGATTTCTGATACTCACTCAATTATAACGGCCGCAGTTACTAAACTTTTCAAGTTGCAAAGTGGGGACATCAAGATATTGCCTTTTGAACACATTCATTAAGAACTTTCAAGTTATCGGTGCAGGCAAAGACTGAAATAGAAAGTTGACTACCGAGTGAGAAAACAAATGTAAACAGCGTAATGTAGACAGTGAATGGAATGTGAAAATCCTGGTGTCCTTGGGTGGAAATGGTATGCTTCATTTACCATACGGAATACGGACAATTTTTAAACTGCATTATTAAACAAAAATATTAATGAAATATAAAAAAGTGTAGTCCGAGCCTTTCATGAACTGCATTAAGTGTCTGAGCCTGGAATCTTCGCGGGGAATCAGGATATGTTTCACACTTGAGTCAGATTTCTAACACGACCGTTTCATTCTATCTTCACCCAAATGATCTCTGCGATACTTGTAAGACGCTGAGGAGTGCTTGCATGTAAACTTGGCGAAAGAGAGGAGCTTGCCATTTTCTAAAAATTTGTTTCCGCTGCTGCATCGTCGAGCAAAAGGAAAAACTTGGTTAATAATCAACCATGAGTTTATAACAGAAGCGAAAACCACCGCAGCGAAGTTTGGAAAACTGAATTCATAGTTTCGAGTATAGTCGCTTTGAGGGAGTAATACGATGCTTAGTTTATCAATCAACGAGCTCTTTTTCAGAATATGCGGGGATTTGAGTATTTTCAGAGGTTTTCCAACACTTATGAAACGAATTTCAACTCTTTCTTCACGTTTTAACGTTTCTCGCAAAAATATTTTAGGTTTGGCGACGACAGCAGACGTAGATAGAAATGAAAATAAAATAAAATTAAAGAATGAATCTTTAGTAAACGTATAGTAAGAAAAAATAATGAATTTTAAAACTTAAAGAAATAATCTTTAAAAAATTTTAAAGAATGAATCTTTAATAAACCTTAGTAAAAAAAACTCTCCTGACTAAGCTAATATCTCCCCCATCCTATTTTACTCTCTTACCACAGCAATTAAGCCTCTTGTTGCCAGAAATAAACTCGTTCAGTTTTTTGACATAATTTCTGGGTTTCATCGAGACACCGACAGTTTTTAATTTCCTTTTTTTTTCTTTACATAGCCCTATCTGTAAACGAAATACTCTACAACTAAGCACAAATAAAATTATTTCCCTCTGTTTTCTCCGAAAATGTTTCTTTGCTGGCGATTCTTGTCTGTATGTTAGTGCAGCTCTTGCATTTGAGAACAATGCAAGTGCTATCCGACCTTATTAACAGGTGGAAAGCAACTTATTCACATTGGTTACTATTATCCTGTTATCGTACCTGCCTGATGAGGAATTCCCCAAGAGAATATTGGCTTCTAAAATTAACCACATTTTGAAATTTTCAATCAGTCAAAAAACCTCACGTTAACATTTCTGCAACCTTTCATGACTATAGAAGAAGTTCTGAGTGATTCGTATCACACCTTCCAATAGAGAAAGAGGTTAAAAGTGACTTTGGAAATACTCACATTTGCTTTGTTTAATAGCGCTTTCCTTATGCTAAGGTTAAAAAGAAATTTGTTTCCAATTTTTATATTCCCAGACAAGTAAAACAATGTTCATCGCTGGAAAAAGTTCTGAAGTAGAATTGGACAACTGATATTTTCCTGTTCACAGTCTGTCCGACTTTTACAGCAAGTCAAGCAGTTCAAGTTGTCTTACTGACATTTGGGGCAAGCCATGTTGTTGTATAAATTTCTCCTTGGTTCAGATGATTGATTTCTGGTCCAGAAATTCTGCAGTTCGAAACCTTAATAAACCCTTTACACCCTAACATCACTATGTATATTCTCCATACTGTTCTCTAAACATTTCCTAAGGAGCTGACAAGGAGAATTTGGTTAGCAATGTAGAGCTTCTTTAGTTGGTGATCATTTTACTCATTCTCGTGACCTTAATGTTAGATTCAGGGGTGATATTGTGAGGAGAAATTAGATGCTAGTCACTCTTAGAAGTCAAAGGGTTGAGGTATTTTCTGACAAGTGCTGAACAGCAAGGATCGAGATGCACCTATCAGAGCTGTTGAATAACAACTAATCACAGCAGAGCATCATGCTTTATAAGATCAGGCGACCTCATCGCCTCAAGAAGACTAGCATTATGCAGCCGAAACGTCGCGATCTACATCACACGTGACTACATCGTGAGACAAAAAAAAAACTTAGCTTTTATTGTTATTCACCACGATGAATAACCACAACCTTTTCCACGATTACTTCTTTATCACATAAAGGGAAAAATTCTGTACAAAAGAAAAATTTCAAGGTCTTGCCGTCGCGGTAGCAGGTTTGCAAGTTGTTATTAAAGAGTAAGATAACAGTAGAACAGGAGAAACCTGTGGCCTAATTAATCTTAGAGGAGGGATTCTTACATTTTTGGCTGACACACTAGAAAGAAATAAGGCTGCTGGTCTTAAAGAAGGTGTAAGTGGAGCAAAACGAAAATACCGCCACTGCATGGTCACTTTTGAAGATATGCAATTGTAAAAACCATCCCTAGACCCAGGCCGCCTCGTTAACATTAGTTATTTCGCGCTCTGCATGCTAATTTATTATTCAGTCTGCGAGTCACATTATTCAAGTTAGTTATCAGTTGTCCGTTGTCAGTCAAGTTTCGTAGTCAAGTTTCGTAGTCAAGTTTCGCTTCTACGGCCCTTATCCCGTCACGTCTGGTACGTTCTTTATTCTAGTTGTGTTTGCTTATTAGTTTATGCTTCCTTGTGTTCGATTTCTCCGAGTAATTTTATTTTATTCATCTATTTAGAAACCACATTGGCAATTACGTAACTATGGTGAGACATTAAATCGAAGTGAAAACCTATTGCTGGTGTGCGTCGTCTATAGCAATGTTATTTTACTGAAGAAGATTTTCATCAACGTAACATCGATGAGCACAAACAACATTTGCTAAAACTGGAAGGTGCTGCTTCTTAATGTCTGGGAGATTTTTATTCTAAACATTATGGAATTAATAGTAGAACTGTGCTGCTTGAATCACCATACTTTGATCCTTGTGAACAACTTGTTCAAGATATCATGCATGTCTTTCTTGAAGGGATTTTATGTGAGATAAGGCTTCTCCTAAACTACTGTATAAATGAAATTAAAGTATTTAAGTTGATAGATTTGAATTCCAGAATACAAGGATTTCCATATGGGTTCTCCAATAGCAAAATTAAGCCAGCAGTTATTTTGGATAAGGATTTACAACAAGGGCCTTCTACAAATACGGGACAAAGTGCCACTCAGATGTGGCTTCTTTGTAGTGTGTTGCCTTTTATTCTCGCTGAATTCGTAGACATTGACACTGACAGATAGAAATGTTTTATTTCCATCATTGAAATTGTCTCTTTGTTTTGCCCATAAGATCTCCATAGCTGCTACTGTATACTTGAAAAAAGCTATCAAAGACCACTTGACCCTCTTCAAGACTGTGCATAAAGACATAGACATTACACCAAAACAACTCTATCTTGTTCAATTGCCTTCTCTAACTTTGAAATTTGGTCCTTTAATCCGTTCATGGTGTTTGCGCTTTGAGGCTAAGCATGCTTATTTCAAGGATCAAGCAAGGATTACAAAGAACTTTAAACAACTACCATCTTCATTGTCAAGGAGGTATCGGTCTTCTGTCCAAGCTGATTATGTTAGGCTTAACAAATAAGATAAAGGTCCCCTCTTTTGGGAAGATATTAAATTTGGAGTAAGTAAGGAACTATTTGGTGATGACCGAGAGACTGCATGATCAAACATAGAACGGTTTTATGAATTGGGGAGTCATGATGGTATTACAGTTTATTCCTTAGATTCGGTACATGTCTACGGCACTTAATACAAGCCTGATAAAGATGCTTTTCTGAATTTTGGGAGTCGGGTGGCTTGCCAGAGTTTGGTAAGATTATCAACATTTGGTTTATTGCCAATCATGGCATTTACTTTTGCCCTCCATGTGGTTACGACTTTAAATTCTAATGAGGATCCGAATGCTTTCGAGATCAAGGAAGCAGATCTTCCTCAGGGATTTGAAATTGTCAGGCAAAACAACCTTGAGATGCTATTTGTGTGCCACCCTATAACTTTAGGGTAAATACATATGTAATTTTTAAAGGAAAATCCTTTTGTTTGGTTCTAAAGGTCACATATATTGTGATCATTTTTGCTGATGGTTAAATATAACTTTGGCTGTTATTCACATGGTTTGCTAAGTAAAGAAACAGTTTAAGTGGTTCATTGAATATTAATTATTGATACATAATTTTCTACAATCATGAAAGTATAGTTTGTGTGTTAACTTGGAGTTAGAGTGTTCACATATGACATTTAATTTTCCTCGTAGGAGCTGCTCTCATATAAAATTGATGACACAGGGGCTTAACAGTTTGAAAGGAGCCTAGAACGTACAGGATAGAATCTCATTTTCAGTGTGTCACTTGAATTCATTTCCACCCTATATTGCATCAGAGGTATTCTCTAAAAAGTAGTTTCTGTCATTTCAATTACAATTTCAAATCTTGAAAGGTTCCAGGCTAGGATAACAATAACAGTGCATTTGGTCATTTTAGATTTCACCCTTGGTAGTTCACTTTTATTTGAGAGGAGTCCCTTTCTGTGGTGACTTGGTTTATAATACTGTTTCAGTTTAGTTACAATATTTTCAGCACAAGTTCTGAGTCAAATCATATTTGATAGTAATATAATTTGAAATTAATAACAGGATTTTGACACAAAGTTTTAGTTGTTTTAGTGTCATTCATAGTGACAATGTGGGAACAGCCTTTGTTTTTGCAATGTATTTAACCGTTCAATAGATGGTCAAAAAAAAAATAATTTATAAGTGGCTATAAGTGGCTAGGAGTTCACTCTGTCTGATGCAATTAATTTTGATGATTAGTATTTTTAAGACCTCGGCAAATAATTTTTGTCAAAACCTCACTATTCGACCAGGAAAGCAATAGGGCCGGTCTGAGTTTAAATTGAATTCTAATCTTTAAATCAATAACCAAATCTCTTAAAATAAGAATGAATTGAAGCATCCATAATTAAAATGCTTGGCGATTTCAACAAATCTTAAAACAATACTCAGACACTGAAAACAATTTTCAGTTCAACGCCTGGCATTCTTAAAATAAGATTGAGGTTGTTAAGTTCAAGGACCCAGATCTTGATTTTAATTGATCAACTTTTGAGTGCCACATGGCCATCTGTCTACAAACACATCGCAAAGCGATTCTTAACAACGAAATAGAACCTGGAGAATATAATGAAAGGTTCAACCAATTGTATTTAACACACTCTACACAAAATGTTCGTCAAGACACTACCACGAAAACATTTACTGCTTAAATTACATTACAAAACTTGTTGCACATTCGATGGTTTATTGCGTTTCAGCGACATTATCGAGTTACGCCAGCGATGCGATATTGCACTTACACAATCCTCAAATGTTTTGATTACTAAGTTTTGGATAGCAGAAGCACTCCGATCAATTTCTTTCCTCGCATTGTCGAGTCCTGTCGTTTCAAAGCCCGCTCATAACGCCACATCGCCTCTCCTGCCATGTTTACGCTTGGATCACTGTCTTCCCCATAACTTACGTCATCAACTTTGAGAGGAACCGCTGACATGTGTGTTCTGAGTCGCCGTACCACGACAGCACATCGAACCAAATATAACGACAAACTTTTCGTTTTTGCATGGAAGATTTCCTTTAAGCGGAAAAGAAGGACGTAACATCGTTTTAGTGCATAATTGAACAAACTATGTTGAAAAAAATTACTTGATTTTGGGTTTCAGTTCTCCTTTAACACCGGGTTGGTTGGGACAGGAGCCCGGGGAGCCATATATGGGCTTGACGGATATGTACCGCTCAACAGGATATGCTTTTTGCCTCTCTGTCTCTGAAACAGGGTATAGAAATCACCCTTTTTCTCTGGAAGAGGGTATCTTTTGTTTTAGATTTGACTCTGGAACAGGGTCGCCTTTTCCCAGAATTCTGATTAATCACAAATCATAAACGGTATAAAAGAAGAAAGTGATTGTCTAAGAAACTGATTGTCCATGAGTGGATAACTGTCTGGAATTGGGTACCTATTTTCACAATTTTTGTCTGGAACAGGGTTGCAAATACACCTTTTTTTCTCTGGAAAAAGATCCCCCAGGACAGTGGCCTTATCTCTGTGAAGGATAAGTTCGGCTGCTGCGCGCGCTACGTGAAATGAGGCTACCATTGAAATGATAATGCTTATATAAATCCTGACCAACGATTATTGAAATACGACAAATCCATATTATATTACTGGAGTATAGATGTATTATCCAGGTGAGAGTGTTCGTCATTGCTCTTAGATCACGTAAGTTCTAGCCCATTTCCAACCTTGATGCAACGCAATCGTTTGTTTTTGTTTAGAACCACCCCTTTTGTTTAAATAGCGTCTCTGATTGGTCAGTTATTTTTACCTTGTTACGTTGTCTCAAAAAATACCTCGAGCGTTTTCGCCGATGAATTTGAAGAGCTTGTCAAAGTAATTCTGGTTAAAACAATTCTATACGTTTCAATCCGGCATGGAATCAGATGAATCCATTGATTTTGTAGATTCCGAGGCAGTAAACGCTTATGGATTGGTTGTTGCTAAAGAGGAACACGAAAATCCTTGCGAGTATTTCGAAGAGGGTGAAAATGTTGATCCACCACGTTTTCATCCATTCATCAATTTTTTTTTTTTAATTGAAGTTTGCTATCCTTATTAAATAGGACCAAGAGTCAGTTGCAGGTTTCTGCCTGTGGAGAGGAGCTTGCGCTCGAAAGAGTGGTCGAGGTTGTTGTGCATGCAAAGCAGCAAATAAGAATCGTAACGCAAACTGTCAGTGTCGCTGACATTCCTGCCATATTTCTCTTCGAAATCCAAAAAATATTAATAAGAAAATATTCTACCTTTATTTAAAATCCTCAAGCGCTTCCAGGCAGCCTAAAATTTCGAACTTGATGTTTTTCGCTAACCCTGTTTACAGGGTACGAAGCCATCAAACGCTTGACACTTAACACTTTTTCAATAACACGGCAGGACACGGTCCACAAATAACCCCATGTTTCTCTCTGAAATATACCAATCTTTCGTTGGAAAATATTCTACCTTCATTTACAATCCTCAAGCGCTTCTAGAAAGTGAAAAAACTCTAACGTCGTCCGTTTCGCTGACCTTGTACGCGTGACACCAAGAGAATTTTCACCGGACACGGTCTTCGAATAACTAAACGTCCAGCAGACTGATATTTCTCAATATTTCTCTTTGAAAAATGACAATTTCTATCGGAAATATTTTATCGCCATTTAGAATCCTCAAGCGCTTCTAGAAAGTGAAAAATTTGAACCCTTTTCGCCGACTCTGTTCACAGAGTACAAAGAGTTCAAGCATGACCCTTTTCTTCTTCAAAATTTTCTTCGGATTCTTCCGGACAAAATTCAAAATACTCTAAGGAAACTGCAAAATGACGAACAGCGAATGTATTTACCGTAAAACAGTTGACTATATGTCCAGGATGGCTCTTGAGAAAGATGATTTTAGAAGGTTTTCCGTGATCTGGGAATTTCGTGTTATAGGGAATTTGGGTCACGGCGCGCGTGGCATGTGCCTTTAAGAATAAGCGCATTCAATAAGTAAGTCTATTGATCAAAAGAACAAAAGAACCGCTATCTTCAAAATTCCTGATTCTTGTAATGTTGTATTTGGTTTTCTTCAAGGATATTTTCATTGCAGTCTATTGCTACTTAATCCTGTTTTGTATTCTTAACTAAAAATGATTTGAGCCCTGTCTGAAATTGAATAGCCACAAATGGCAGGTGTCCCCTACTCTTTCCCTCCCTTCCCCCCCCCACCCCCAAGCAGCACACTCACATTTTGCACCTTGCTGCTGCGAAAAGGAGATAAGCACTCTTGTATAACGCTCTTTGGAGTTAGGAAACTGTTGGTGAAAAAAAAAAAAAGAGTGATGTACATACGTTGTTATGTATACGTTGTTCAGCAAGTCCAGTCTTATCACGAAGTAACAAAAATAGACGGACTTCGTTGTTGGGACACCACAAATGTAAACTGCTAATAAAACAAAGGCTATAGCAAATTCATCGCAAAAAGAAAAGTTTAATCTCTTTTGCTACAGTAGTTGCAAACAGTGCAATTGAAATATGAAGTAAAGAAATTAACTTCCCATGCACACTGCTGGTCGTATGAAAAAGAAAACACGCATATAACACTTTAAGAAATCAATGAATATCTAAATACAGCTACTTTTAAGTAATAAGCCGGCTGGTGTGTGTAATTTCACAGCTGGCTCCATCAAATCCTTAAAACAATTTTACTGATGCAGGTAAAGCCACATAGAGTGTGGCAGAGGTCGGTTAAATGCACGAAAGCTCCCCAATTTTAAAAACTTGAACTAATTACCAATGTAACAAACAATGCATGTGTAGTGCTTTCTAAAGCTACGTCAAGTGAAAAAGAAAGTGTAAGGACAGTTCGTTTTTGAGAATGTGGTGGATCAGGTTTGAACTCCATTTGGCAGCCATCTCGGAATCAAGTACGGATAGGTCAAATAATTATCTTCCTTCCTCTTTCGGTTCTTTTCTTGCATGTGAGGCTGAATAACATTCATGAGGTAAGTGTAATAACCATTGACGAGTTTGATGGCCTGAGGATCAAGAAGTTCGTTGCCGTAGTCAAACAAGGAGTCAAAGCGGAACAGCGAAAGCGCGTTACTAAAGCTGGCTTCGATCTGTGGAGTGAAAATAGAAAAAAAATTAGTTTTGACTATCTGATGTTCAAACTTAATCAATGTTCTACTCACCGTCTTTCTATCAAGTGTATCATGGCTTTTTAAATCAGTGGAGTACGAACGCACTAATTCAATAAATTATTTGCTACCGGAGTGCCTGCCTGACTAACCGACTGGCATAAAGGTTGATTGCGTTTACTGACTGCCTGAGATAGGTGTTAATTGCTGACTCCCAATGCATGATTGACGGGCGTGTAGGTTTAAACACTGTTTGCCTATCTGGTTCCTTGGGTAAATTTCTAAATCAGCCACTGACTGACGGCAGCTCGGCGTGCCACAGCCATAACTGGCGTACATTCCGACAGAGTCACATCACTACGTATGAACAGAATGTCTAAGGAAAACAGAAACGCCAAAAATACCCTGAAGGAAAATTGCCCCTCGAAGCAGATGTTTACACTACCGTAGAGAGCTCATAAACTGTAACAGACACGTTCTCCCCTTCCACCTTATTCATTTTGTCTGTTTGGAAAAACGTTGTGTACAATGCATTTCCAATATACCCCTGAGTACATTGTGTTGGGGGAGGTCAAGGAAGGAGCTAAATAATGATTTAGTCCAGACTCACGAAATTCAAACTAAATAATGATTTAGTCCAGACTCACGAAATTCAAACTAAATAATGATTTAGTCCAGACTCACGAAATTCAAACGTACGAGTGACCAAGTCGCGATTTTTTTTAGTTTTGCATCTGATTGGCTGAGAGGGTGGCACGAGTTTTCTAGACCAATCACAGCACACAGTAAAAGCAAAACCAATGCAATCTCGGATTACTTTCGACACTCAGTTGAAAATTTCTCAAACGGCACAAGCTAAATTCACATGATTAAACCTGTGATCATGCCATATCCAGCGTATAGGTGTTCAATATGGTCGCACAACTTACAGAGGAAGTGTTTCTGTTTGGCAGACGTAGTACAGAGTATTCGCCTTCCTTCACCCTGGTATCGTTGTACAGTTTGGTTGGTAGGTTGGGAGTGTACAGACCATAGTCTGTCAGGGGATAGTTTACAGCAGCGTGTTGGACGCTCAGTTGTGAGATAATGCGGGTCACAATGTCACAGAGCTCATCTTTAGTCGCAATCTTTGAGGGTAATCCTTTGATCTGTTAAAACGCAGAATAAAGCATTTTATATAGCATTGCGAACTTATAACGGATTTCAGTGTTTAAGTGATTGATGTCCAGTATTAAGTTTGTTTTGTCTGTTTGTTTTGTGTTTTGTTTTCGTTTTCTAAGTTAGTTGGAAAATGTGTTAAAAGGAAACAAATCGTTAAACAAGGTCGCATCGGGCCAAATTCTTTTGCTTTAATAGAATCTGTATCTTTTCGGAAAATTCCAACATGGCGACCGTCTTCGATAACGCCTCGCCCCAGCATCGCCGTAACCCAGAATGTTTACAGTTGTGCCTCATCACAGGCTATCTATTTAAGTTTTAATGATTTAAAAATGTTAAATGTAACACAATGTTATCTATAAAGAAAACCCTTGGGAGAGGAATGGACGTCCGTCGGCCTAAGACGGTAACGTTACTATAATCGATGATTCAGACGCCAAAAACTAAGCTGACAACAGCAGGTACTCGAAGTTACACAGTGCACGCCATATATCCCTCCATCACTGGTCGAAGATCAAGATATTTAAGCAGACGAATTGTAGATATATAAAACCAAAGACAGCAAAAACAAACCACTATAACAATCAGACTTTTTTACACTTACTTTCCCATAGCCGCCGTAAAAATCGGAAATGAATGAATAGACAATTCACGGAGGAATGATCCAAACTCATAATCCTTTTTAACATCCTCATTGCCGTAATAATACCTGAGAAAACAGTACAATGCAAAACGTTTACTGACATTCCCTACAAGGTGTTTTCTAAGTTACAATTAGTGCTTTTTTGTGGAGACAATTGAAAAAATCACCACTAAATTGGATATACATAGATGGAATGATTGTATGCCAAGACTAGAAGTCATCATCGACGCCCTGGCTGCTTTTGCAACTACAAACATTACCTTCTAAAGGAGAGTCCAAAGTTAGTGTTTTAAACCTGTACCTAGTACACAAAGGCATATCCTGCCACGAGCTATCTGTTGCTCTCTGGTTGTGCACTCGACCAGAAATCAGAAGGTCTAAGGTTTGACTACTCATTGGGGACATTGGACATCGGACACAGCATCACTCTAACGCAAGAATCATACTCGGTATAAAAATACCTTAGAAAGCTAACTTTTTAAGGCGCTGCAGTGCTGCGTCGACAGGCATGTAAAATATATAGTTTTAAAATAGTCGACGTGAACTGCCATGGCGAGCTTAGGAAAGCTGGTGTCACGAGGTTTAGCCCTTTTCGGCGGAACTGTGTTGTTGCTGTTATCCCAACACCCAAGGTAGATGGGCTAACATTATTTAACTAACTAGTGTTCTTAGTGAGTTGGTCTTGATAACTAGGAGTTAGTTCAGAGCTACAATTTTTTCCAGTATTTTCCCGTGAAGTAATACTTACAAGTCGACGTAACCCTTCACCATATTTTCGATAATTTTCAAAATTTGCTCTCCATCATCACGGTAAGGATAGTACGGAAGAAGCTTCTTGTCATCGACTCCGCGTTTCTATTCATCCAAAAGAAATGAAAAAGTCCACACTTGATTGTAAATGTATTACAGCACAACATACTCAATTTCCAAGCTATGTGTTTCCACAAAATTGCTCCTTTTAAAATTACTTTGCAAGCGCATGCACCGGGTTCGTAGGCCTATTCGTACAGACTATTCTTGCTATGCTCGAGTTATAGTTAAATAAAACAGAATTCATTTTTGTTCTATTTATGTCGCTGCAGTTCTTTCCTTCCTTTTAAACAATAATTCAGGTAAGGTCATCATGTCAAAGACGCCATTAGAAATAATGGAGACTGGAGTACTATATATGGATCACCGTTTCAACTTGCATTTTGATTTGAGACGTGTAGTACATTATCTGTGAACGCTTTTCGAGTAAAATACTCGATCGAAGATGTCGTATTCATTTGGTATGATTTAAGGCTCCAACGTACATGTGTGTAACCGAATGTGAACAAAAAGGGGCGGCAGAAGAAGGCTTGATAAAAAGGGGAAAAGAAAAGAAGTATTAGGTACAAGTTTATTAAAGGACTGCATGAAAATATATGAGTTCAATTTTTTCTTCTGCTTAGGCTCTTTTGTTGGAGAAAAGGGTTGACTGTCTATTCTTCATGCGAATATATAGTCTGAATATTGTGGTCAATAGGAATACATTTATATGTCTTTTAAGCCTGAAAAAGTGTTTTGGTTGACCGAAATGTTTTGAATTTTTATAGGTTGAAACGTTAAGGGGGAAAACCGACGCATCACATACCTTTATTTCGTTTCTAAAATCTGTGACATCCCATGTGCTTAATTTATGTGCTTCTCTAAGAAGTCGGGTGGTTCCATTATTTCCAAATGCAAACAGCTGATCCATAAACTCTCCTTCGCCAACAAGTTTTGGAGCACCAATGGTATTTGGGACTGTCACGTCCCTGCAGTGATACTTTAAAATTTGATGAAGTGGATGAGAGGACGACAGGGTGCGTTTCAATACCACGCAAAATGGCTCCATCAAAAAATGAACCTTGTAAGACAAGCATTATGGTTAAACGTCGTGTGGTATAACTACTTTAAAACATATCTATAAGAAATTTTCGATATAACGCGCGGTCTGATTGGTTGAAATAGCGTGCTCTATGAGAGTTTATATAATAAGCTCAGTTATGCACGAATTCTGATTGGTTCTCACTTATGATCTATTGGAGGACAGACGAATAGATGACGTCATCATTAAAATTTTTTTAAAATTCTTTATTATATAAAACAAATAGATTCCAAGTTGCTGTGCGTCTGTTCAGTAATAGATCACAGAGGATGTCAAAATGTGGTAAGAACATCAGTGACACACTCGGCTGCGCCTCGTGTGCCACTTTTTTGTTCTTACCACATTTTGACGTTATCTGTGATCTATTACTGAACAGACACTCGGCAACTTGGAATCTATTTGTTAAATAGAGCACGGTGATTGAAAATTGGCGAGTAAATTTTACTAATTTTTGCTTCGGCGTTATCTTGAAGAATTTGACCTAAAGTCAACGAAAAGAAAACGAGCTATTTGTCTAAAATAAAGATGGACTACGTGGAGACAATCATTAATCACAGTGGTGTTTAAAATGCTAGTAAATTGCAAGTAAAGAAACGTTTCCGTCAAACTGCCGATGAAAATACAGCACTCGAGTAGCGAAATAAACAAGTGTCTCTCGACCTAATGAACTCTTTAATAAATGGCGCTTCATTCATCACAGACGAAGTAATTACACTGTAAATGTAAAAATCAGCGAAAGGAAACAACACATGAGCTGTCTGCGTTTCTGAAAAAACGAGCTTTATTTTTGTGAAGATGTCGATAAAAGAGTATTGAAAAGCTTGCGTGAGGAGCGTACGCTCGTTCACCACAAAAGCGATCTACGGTCATCTCAGCGGAGCAAACCTCAACATTTACAATGCTCACTGTTCTAGTGATCCGTTTAACGATTGCTCTTGCATTCTCCCGATGTTCTGGGTGAAGCAGTTCAGTTGTTTTGCCCTTGTCGCCATTTCGGGCAATCCCTTTGCTGCCGTAAATTGTTCATCATTTCAAACTCAGCTCAGCAAATTAAAAAGTTTCAACAAAAGCTTCGAGCTCTTTCTTTCGCAATACGCCACAATTCAGCCGGATTTCATCGAACAATTGCCTTTTCCGATCCTATTTTTTGCATTAAATCGAAGGCACCCGTGGAATTCCCAGGAGTGCCTATAAAAATTTCTAGTTGTGACATACCTTGCCAAGATGCTCCACAATTTGTGCATATCCGAGATCTGTAACCTGGACATTCAATTTGGCCAACATCCAGTTGTCATCATCCTCAGGAGTGTATACGGATGAATCTGATGAGGAAAAGATGTTAGCTCAGCCAACTGGTTATTTCATTTACTATTTGCAAAACGGTACTAGATTTATTACTATGTACCTATGCTTCATACTGTGATTCATCCCAACTTAACAGACAGTTTAAATCAGACAGCAGATATTTTTTTTTTCGTTGACTGAGTTCCTCTTTCCTATAATTTCGTTCTTTTCAGGCTATTTTGACCTGCTTTTTTCCCTCAAAGTGATTTTTACCTGACTCAGAAATAATCCCATGACTACTTGGCCAGCAGTTTAGTCGTTTAAAAAAAGGAAATATAAAATGATCACATTGCCCAAACTATTCGATTTCCGAAGTACGGCGAAACAAGGCTAACAAGATTATGGCGGAAAGGTAATGTTTAGTAAATATTAACTTCCTAAATCTTTAATACACTGAACCTGGAGTGTAGTCCATTTGGATGGCTACAGGGACAAGATCATTGGTTTTTGTCCTGGGGAATCTTGCTTAGACGCAAACAGAGCAATGGGAGAGATTAAAATTTATAAATAATTAGACAAATTAGTAAATGAATAGTATCAAAACTGTTTAGAATGTCCCCACTTTTCCTCTTGGGATCATTGTCAGTAAGGTCCACTTCTTCTCTGGGTAGGTCGTCAGTCAAATTCTGGATTCAGTGTTTTATTGAGTGTGTCCCAATCCAACCCTACTGAACCTGGACGAGGATAAAGGAATGATTGAAAGAAAACAATGTAGGACATGTGCACACTTATTTTTATTTGTATTCGTTCCTGTCTTGTTATTATTGTTATCATCATCATCATCATCACCACCGTCATCATCATCATCATCATCATCATCATCGTCATTATTATCATTATATTCAATATGACTATTATCATCATAATGATTACCCTTTATCATCATCATCATCATCATCATTACCATCACTTTCATCCATATAATCATAATCAATATCAGTTTTCTTCCCATAATCACTAGAAGATGGATGACAGTTATTTACATTGTTCTTTCCATATCATTACTGCTGAAAGAAAGTGTAAGAGCCGGCAAAGAGCCAGCGTTTGAAAAAACCTATCGAGTACGATCCAAAGTTGAAAAGTGGCTAAAAAAAGTTATCAATGTTTTTCTGTAACTTGAAAGATGGTAATTGTTCTTCTAGCGACACCATTCGTAAAGGAAGTTTTACCAGCTTTGAGAGTCACTCGTCTCAGTGACATAGGGTTGATTCCTGCCAGACGCTGTTGAGTGAAGAACCTGTCACTTATCCACGTAGTCTTGTCGTCAATAAAGGCTTCGTACTTCGATGGCCGCCTGTTATTAACCTTGAAGAAAAAAACACAGAGGTTTGTTCTACGAATGAAGAATTCTTAGTCGCCAGTTCGAGTGATTCAGTACATAAGCTAAATCACATGCTATACATGTATGTGTATAGCTTACCTAAGCTTTCGTTTAAAGCTGCTGTTGTATATTTTTTTGTCCATTAGCTTACACCAAGAAAATTTCTGCGTCCATACTGACCATTAAATCTTAGTAGCAGTAGTAGCTACAGAGGTGGATAGAGTACTAGTAGTAGTAGTAGTAGTAATAGCACTAGTAGTAGTAGTAGTAGTAGTAGTAGTGGGAGGAGCAGCAGCAGCAGTATAAGTAAGTAGTAGTAGTAGTAGTAGTAGTAGTAGTAGTAGTAGTAGTATTAATATTAGTAGTAGTAGTACTGGTAGTAGTAGGGAGTAGTGGTGCTGGTAGTGGAAGTAGTAGTGGTGGTGGTGGTAGTGGTGGTAGTGCTGGTGGCGAGTGGTGGTAGTAGTAATATTAGTGGAAGTGGTGCTGGTGGTGGTGGTGGTAGTGGTAGTAGTGGTGGTAGGTGGTGGTGGTGATATTGGTGGTGGTGGTGCTGGTGGTGGTAGGAGTGGTGGTGCTAGTGGTGGAGTGGTGGTGGTGGTGGTGGTGGTGGTACTGGTGGCGGTGGTGGTGGTAGTACATTGGTGAAGTAGTGCTAGTGGTGGTGGTGAGTGAGTAGTAGTGGTAGTAGTAGGGTGAGGAGGGCAGCCAGCAGCAGCGGCAGCAGTAGTGGTAGTAGTAGTAGTAGTAGTAGTAGTGGTAGTAGTAGTAATATTAGTGGTAGCGGTGGTAATTAGTACCAGCAGTGGTAGTAGTGGGGAGGAGGGAGCAGCAGCGGCAGCAGTAGTAGTAGTAATATTATCAGCAGTAGTAGTAGTAGTAATATTGGCAGCAGTAGTAGTAGTAATATGTAGCAGTAGTAGTAGTAGTAGTAGTAGTAGTAGTAGTAGTACTAGTAGTAGTAGTAATAATAAGCTTTATTTGCATGACCATAACGTTTTACAGTGTTGCAAAAGGAAAACCGATTAATAACAAAATAAGGCTAATAATACTCGAATATTCTTCTTAGTTACATCTCTTTTATTTGATATCAATAATGTATCACGTATATTTATACATGTGGATATAAATTTATGACTATCTCAGTTACGCTGCGGTCATTAGAATTCATGAGAAGGTTTAAGCTTTCGTAGGTTGATTTTCTTTCAATGTCAGGTATTATTTCTTTGATTCGATTTAAGAAATTTTGTCACTGCAAAGTGCATCTATTGCACTGAAACAAGAAATTATTTTCATTTTCTATTTGATTTGATTTGCACAATGGGCAAAATCTATACTGAGCTACAGTCATTAGAAAAAGATCAAGAAAAACTTAACTAATTAGATCATGAGATAAGCGAGCAAGAAATACGTCAAGCAGTGAAGAAATTGAAAAATAAGAAATCTCTTTTCTTTGACCAAATGAGAAACGAAATGATCAAATCGAGCCTTGAATCGCTTCTGCCTGTTTACATCAAACTTTTAACCTCATTTTACAATGTGGAAAAATACTAGATATTTGGTGTCAGGGCCTTATAAGCCCAATCTACAAATCGGGTGACAAGAGTGACCCAACAAACTATAGAGTCATATGTGTATCTAGTTGCCAGTAGTATGTAGTAGTAGTAGAAGTAGTAGTAGTAGTAGTAGTAGTAGTAGTAGTAGTAGTAGTAGTAGTAGTAGTAGTAATCAATAAACAAACAAACAAACAAACAAACAAAAAGTTAGTCATACCCCTCCAGCCATCGCAGACATTTCAAAGAACTTTGACAAAATCCGGTAGCTGACCTTGTGGCTTATTTCTTTATCGGTGGTTTTATTGACCAAATAGTTGTAAACGATAAGGCTTAAGTCGGTGGTAAGGACAGTTTGAAGGTATCCCTCTAAATAAAACCTTGTGAAGGGATTTATGAAATCACGACCAATTAGTGTCCACGGGCTTGGTACATCTAACAGAGCGTATCCATAGGGGCTAACTTTCAACTTCCATTTGTCTTTCATCTCGCGAAGTTCCATAAACCTCTTGACTTTGCAAACAAAGTTACTCCTTTGAGGAAGAGAGACACTGCATTCCAGAAGCAATCCGAGCCTTAAAAAGCAAAAGATTGTTTGCGTGACTATAAACTTTACAGTATTGCTAAAGCTTATACAATTATCTAAGTTGTATTCGAAAATCAAATTACATCGATAACAATTCGTCTTGAAAATTGAAGCAAGATGTAATAAATCTAATTAATTCTAAATTACGAACATAATTAGAAAAATTCATTAATTCTGTGGTCTGTTGATTGACTGGTAACTGCCTAATATTTGGAATCAAAGTCTGTATTTAATTGTAAAAAGTATACCTTATTAATGAGTATTTGGAACAGTGGAAAAGAAAATGGATTTCGTCTTCGATTTGATTAATTAGATCCACAGACTTGGCAGAGTCAATAATCTGTAGAGATTTGGTTGTATCTGCCAAGTTCAATCATAAGTTTTTGATTACTTCTGCGTGGTTCAGTTAAGACCCTTCTTTCAGATGTTCTTGTAATTAGGTCTAGATAATATAATGTGGAGGAGCATATTCGATTTTAAAAATTATATAAAAGATCGCGATAATATGATCAAATCATCTGCAATGTAGAAGGGAATTTAATTTTTCGCCGTTTGGTAGAACAAAAGGGTCAGATAAAGTATGTTGAAAGGAGAATGGTAGATTAATGATACAAAGATTAAAGAGCAATGGACTTAAAATACAACCATGGCGTACACCTCTTTGCTTACTGAAAGGATCTTGTTTTCTTTTGACCAGTTTTGATTGAACATGAAGATTTGGAATAAAGGCTTTTAATCAAACTATAAAAGCAGCCTCACAGATTGATCGTGCCAGACTAAGTCAAAAGCCTTCCTGAAATCGTTCATTTAACAGTGATGTATGAAATACGGCTATAACTTATGAGTCTAACGCTAAAAATTTGCCTTTGCTTATTTTGATTTTGTCTATTTTTCTTTCGCTATGTTTGGTTTTGCGCCCACTTTTGTTTGTGATGATAAAAATATATTTATATTTTCTTCTCTAGTATACGCTGCTTGTTTATGTTAATACGTGTTGTGCCGATTTGTAATTGAGAATTATATGTGTTTAAAAACTTGTTTTCAGTTATACTAAATTCACGTCGTCCCTAGCCAAGCTTGATGTGTTACTTACAATTTAGCCATTTTTTTAATCCATTCCAAGTCTTTATCTGATATGTCCATCATCGGTACTTTCTTAACTGCGTGAGGCTTATCATCTTGGCCAGACGACAAACTAGGAAAAAAATTAATGAAAAATATCTTGTATTATACTCTTTTTTATAAGAACCTTTTTTATTAAAACAGAAAGGCTGAGATTAACCAAAATTTTAAGAACGTATTGAGAACATTCCTCAGGCTGAGGGTCGATTAAGAACGTCATTTTGCTCATCTGTATATTAAATGACAAGCATAAAATAAAGGTAACAAAAAAAAGGAAGCTCACAGAAATACTTAAGGGCACGTTTTCTATAACATTAACAGTGGTTTTCTTACTTCATGACGCACATCTCTCGGTTTGTAATAATCAGCAGTTCTTATATATAACTGTTTCAAAATAACTTAAATCCACACCATTGAAGTTATCAAGATTGTTGTATACGTATAGTATACGCTGGTTGTTTATGTTTATACGTGTTGTGCCGATTTGTAATTGAGAATTATATGTGCTTAAAAACTTGTTTTCAGTTATATTAAATCCTCATCGTGCCTCGCCAGGCTTGATGTGTTACTTACAATTTAGCCTTTTTTTTAATCCATTCCAAGTCTTCATCTGAAATGTCCATCATCGGTACTTTCTTGACTGCGTGACGCTTATCGTCCTGGCCAGACGACAAACTAGGAAAAAAATTAACGAAAAAGATCTTGTATTATACTCTTTTTTATAAGAACCTTTTTTATTAAAACGGAAAGGCTGAGATTAACCAAACTTTTAAGAACGTTTTAAGAACATTCCTCAGGCTGAGGGTCGATTAAGAACGATATTTTGCTCATCTGTATATTAAATGACAAGAATAAAATAAAGGTAACTGAAAAAGGAAGTTCACAGAAATACTTAAGTGCACGTTTTTATAACATTAACAGTGGTTTTCTTACTTCACGAGGCACATCTCTCGGTTTGTAATAATCAGCAGTTCTTATTTATAACTGTTCCAAAATAACTTAAATCCACACCGTTAAAGTCATCAAGTGATACAAAGCATTATCAAGGTAGTTGATAGGTATCCTGATCACATCCACATTGATTTATTAAATACTGTATACCATGCAAATTCAAGAACATCTTAAGAACGTTTTCAGCCTCAAATCGCAAAAAAAGAACGTTCAGCCTCAGCTCCAACAGTAGACGTTCTTATTAAAAAAAAAATTGAGAATACCAAAATTATTGTAAGATGAGATTTGAGATGTGGTGTACGAGGCGGGAAACAGAAAGAAATGAAAACAATAAATAAATGAAGTAAATTAAATAAAATAAACGAAAAATCTCAACAATGCATAATACTGAAAAGGTGCCGAGCTTCGTGACTGCCAATTTGTTAACTTCTCATTTTACCACTTATCGTTTTGCTGTGCAAATCACCGCAAAGGTTTCTATTTTTTGCTTGTAAATTCTGCGTGGTAGTTGAGATCAGACATGTGGGAAATGGGCTCAGACATGCAGAATTTCTTCACATGCTCGAGCTGGAACGTTTGTCGCAGGTTAATCCTGTAATTCCAATGCAATTTCTACCAAGAAACAAAGCTGTTACAATACAAACAAGTAAATGTGGGTTTGGTGTCCTCGAGCAATGCGTCCCCGAAATAGGGCTTTAAGTTTCCTTTTAACCATGGCTTCTACAAATTTGTTTTCGAGCTCGCTGTTGTCGGCGTCCTTATTCCTAAGATCTTAATTTAATGAGGTCTCCTCCCCTTATATTCGAATTCCGTGCGCCTGTGGTTTCAAGCAAGGAGTTATTCTAATTTGAAGATATTTATTTGCAAATAGCTATTTCAGAATTAGTTTTAATAGAATTACAAAAAAAAGTGATAAGATTGATGAGATTAAAAAATAGTACTGGTTTTATAAATCGAAGAGTTGGAAGCTCCCTACTATAACAAGGAATATTTTAATTACACGAAAGAAAATTTACCTTGAAACTGCACCATAACAGGCGACTATGAATACTATACCAAGCAAAATGTTCGCGTTCATAACTGACACCGAAATTGCTCACTGTCTGTATGTGGCCTTTGTTGTCTCAGGACTTGAAGCCTGCTGTTTCTTGACAGTCAGTGAACCTATTTTTCAGGCAAAGAAATTTCATAGGTCAAATACAAACTGTATGTCTATATATAGTGAACTATCGGCCCACTTTGTAAATCACAGCTTTATATTTTGGTTTAGCTCCTAGGTGGCAATTATTGAGATTGGACTGGTGGCGACATCAAGTTAAATTGGCAGGGGGGCTTATTATTCGTGTGTAGCGAAGTGGAAAATAGCAAGGCAAAGAGCGCCACCTTGTTAGCCTTTTGCCTCTGTTTCAAGACGAGTCTACGTGCACCATTCAAATGATAATACGTTTCACTCGATCCCATGCCCATTTTCATGTAAATCAAACTCATTTTCATTTGAATGGTTTGTACTTGGACTCGTTTTTAAACGGAGGCAAAAGGCAACTCGGAAATAGCCTATTACGCATGGCGTCATTTGTGAATGTCTACGACCAAGGGTGGTGTGACAGGGAGTGAAAAGTTTTTTTGTGAAAAGACTCGTCTTACTTTGTGAATTTTTAACCATAAACCATTTACTTCTCTTATGTCTATTTAAACGAAAAGAAATACAGATGATTGAAAAAGAAAAAAAAAGAGCAATTGAAACAACTATTCTACAAGCCCTTTAAATGACTCAAATTGAAATTAAAATTGCTACCTGTCAGCTTCGATCGATTCAAACCAAGCGATGAAGCGTGGAAAAATTAACGCGAAGAATTTATGGAAACAAGACATTACAAAAAATGTACATATTTTTGTTTTAAACTTTGATTGCATCACGTGCAACATAGCCCAAATTCAATTTTTCCGAGTGTGCTGTCATACGCTATTTTTTGTGTTTGGCAGAATCCGAATGTTAAGGCCCTGTGAAATTTTAGAAATGCGTCTCACTAGCTGTCCGTAAGATATACGTTATCAAGAAATTTTAGACTTCAGCTGCCAAAATGTTTAGTGGAATTGTAGCATCTTCTACACCCAGTCATATCTACAACCGCATCGAATGAATCAACCTATTTACGGCAAAATAAACTCAGGTAGATTTAGTTATAACTGGAAAAATGATTCACGAAAGTTACAATTTACAAAACACACACATTAATGAAAATACTTTATATATCAATTCCTATAAGTTAATAGACAGGCCCACTCACCTTCGATCGGAGCTATGAACTGACCAGAAGCTGTTTACACCCGGAGAGGTGGAATAACAACTGTGGTAAGTAAATGGTAGCGTTGGTTTTTATGACTGTTACTGACTGTATTGTTTGCCCAAGGTGACACTTCAATAAACTATTGTCATCAGGCATTAATTTTCATCAAGATCCGACATGCCATGAAACAAATGAAAAAGTACATTGTAGTCTTCTCATGATGTGTCACGGATGGGAGATCATAAAACGGCGCGACGCCCACAGCTTATACTTAAAAATATCGATTTGAAATTCTTGGATCGACCCAAGCAACAAGTTTATTAACTACTTGACTGCCCCTTAATTTAGCCCCAATAAGTATACCATGAAGGAAGGTGATACCAGTTTTTTGTTTTCAAATGTATCATTCCAGATTTTTTATTGCGTGCTACAAGACTTGCTATGCAGCGAAGTGAAAATTGAAAAGAATAGTTTATTTTGTTTCGTTTCCTTTCATTTGCTTTTTTTTCTCTTTATGTAGCGTGGAATAATAGGTATGAATTAAGTAGACGCCCGGGTTGATATAAGAGTCACGCACATTTGTTTTCCAGCCTTTTTCATATGAACAGACGTAATCTACACGTCAGATACTGCCAAATACAGAAGAAAAATCACCAAACTTATTTCTGTAAATTGCATTTCACCCGAAACATTTTTCTGCTGATTTATTTTTGGACTTGCAAGGACACTTTGATATTTGAAAGCACCCAAGACAGCGCTTTGTCAAAGAGTAGTGAAGTGGAAATTTTTCAGACAAAGAACTGAACTAAAAATGTACTTCCTACGACTGGCGTTATTTCTTTCATCTAAGAAAGTTAATTATCAACTGTGTGACTGCCTCATAGTTTAACCCCAGCAATTACACCATGAAGGAAGGTGGATACCATTTTTTTCTTTTTTTTTCCAAATGTTTCATTCCAAATTTTTCATTGGGTACCGCCAGACTTGCTGTGCAGCGAAGTGAAAATATAAAATTATTAAGATCCGACATGCCATGAAATAGGCGTTGGTTCTTATGAATATTACGGATTTAAAACAGCCATTAACTAACTATATTATTTGCCTATGGTGACACTTCAATAAACTATTGTCATCAGACATTAATTTTAATCAAGATCCGACATGCTATGAAATAAATGAAAAAGTACATCGCAGCCTTGTTATGATGTGTCACGGATGGGAGTTTATGCAACGACACGACGCCCGCAGCTTATATTTAAAAATATCTATTTGAAATTCTTGGATCGATCTAAGCAACAAGTTTATTAACTACGTGACTACCCCTTAGTTTAGCCCCAATAAGTATACCATGAAGGAAGGTGGTACCAGTTTTTTGTTTTCAAATGTATCATTCCAGATTTTTCACTGCACGCTACCAGACTTGCTGTGCAGCGAAGTGAAAATATAAAAGTATAGTTTGTTTTGTTTTGTTTTGTTTTTTTTTTTTTTTTTTTTTCTCCTTATGTAGCGTAGGTATGAATTAAGTAGACGCCTGGGTTGATATGAGAGTCACGTTCATTTGTATTCCAGCCTTATTCATATAGCAGACGTAATCTACCTATCAAATACTGCCAAATACAGAAGAATAATCACCAAACTCATTTCTGTAAATTGCATTTCACCCGAAACATTTTTCCCGATTTATTTTTGGACTTGCAAGGACACTTTGACATTTGAAAGCACCCAAGACAGCGCTTTGTCAAAGAGTAGCGAAGTAGAAATTTTTCAGACAAAGAATTGAACTAAAATTTGTACTTCCTGCGACTGGCGTTATTTCTTTCATCTAAGAAAGTTAATCATCAACTGAGTGACTGCCTCTTAGTTTAACCCCAGCAACTATACCATGAAGGAAGGTGGATACCATTTTTTTTTTTTTTTTTTTTCAAATGTTTTATTTCAGATTTTTCATTGGGTGCCGCCAGACTTGCTGTGCAGCGAAGTGAAAGTGTAAAATCAGTAAGATCCGACATGCCATGAAATAAGCGTTGGTTTTTATGAATATTACTGGTTTAAAACAGCCATTAACTGACTGTATTATTTGCCTAAGGTGACACTTCAATAAACTATTGTCATTAGACATTAATTTTCATCAAGATCCGACATGGCATGAAATAAATGAAAAAGTACATTGCAGCCTTGTCACGGATGGGAGATCACACAACGACACGACGCCCATAGCTTATACTTAACAAGTTGCCGTGCGTGAAAATATAAAATCCTTAAGATCCGACATGCCATGAAATAGGCGTTGGTTTTTATGTTGTAGCGTGGAACAATAGGCATGAATTAAGTAGACGCCTGGGTTGATATTAGAGTCACGCACATTTGTTTTCCAGCCTTTTTCATATGAGCAGACGTAATCTGCATGTCAAATACTGCCAAATACAGAAGAAAAATCGCCAAACTCATTTCCGTAAATTGCATTTCATCCAAAACATTTTCGATTTATTTTTGGACATGGCGAGGACATTTTGACATTTTGAAAGCACCCAAGACAGCGCTTTGTCAAAGAGTAGCCAAGTGGAAATTTTTCAGACAAAGAACTGAAGTAAAAATGTAGTTCCTGCGACTGGCGTCATTTCTTTCATCTAAGAAAGTCAATTAAAATTTCATGGGAAGCGTACCGATGCAAAGAACTCAAAGGCTTAAACTGTGACCACCATGCGTTCGTTTACTGTTTGTTTCACATAATGCAAAAAAAAAAAAGAAAAAGGGAGTGCCTCATAACTGAAATTCACAATTTTTACAGCCATTAATGAATCACCGTCCGCGTCGTTTATAATACTGGGATGACATTATTGTCTTTGTTACCAGTTCACCACTTAAAGGCGCTGTAAGACAATAATGCGGCACTGTGTGATATCTAAGACAATTGTTATCTTTCATCTCACTTCTTTTACTTTGTCGAAATGAAAAAGTAGTAAGAAAAATGTTAATACCCAACACTATGCAACTCAAGTCTATCATTCTGCTTTTTTTTCCTTATGGGAAGTAGGGGTAAGGGGAAAAGGGAGTTTAGATTGCATGGGCCGGGTAATGTAGGTGGCAGTCTCGTTCCCAGAGTTTTCGAGCTCCTTGGTCAGCGGTTTGGTCGCCGGGAGACAAAATTATGTTATTATTGGTACAATTAACCATGGATTTTCCACCAATTACAGCACGTTTTTAAATGCTAGATAAGCGACTAAGCTCTGAGAGAATACAGAGCAAGTTCTGTTGACCGGGCCTTGTGTGAGGAGGCACTAACTCTATTAACTCTATTAATACGATACTTATTTGATATTCACTTAGACAGCAGAGTTTTTAGTGTTTAGTTTGTTATTTCGAAGAAAACTTCAATGTTAGGTGGAGAAAAAGAACGACTTCCAGTGAAAAATTCACACTATTCATCCGAATACTCGAGTTTCCGACTCGTTATTTGCACCAATCAATGTTTTCTTAGAATTAGAGGAAACCACGAGATAAAAATATGATAATAATGCAAAAAGAAGAATTAAGGTTGACCAAGATAGAAATTTCGACATAGTTGTGAGCAAAAGACTTTAAAGATCAATGATACTGTTTCTTTTTTTAAGGGAGGTGGTCAGTTAGGCGCCAAGTGAGACGTATCAGTTCAACCCTTTAACCCCTAAGAGGGTTTGGCATTTAATTTCTCCTTACCGTATTACCGCTGAACCAAACATCAGAATCATGGGAATAAAGGAAATAATCACCAAGTTATAAAGCTGTTGATTGTCAAACAAATTCCCTTGGCAGCACCATACGGTATCTATAGAGAACAGTGATGAGAATATCTGTACTGATGCTAGTGAGTAAAGAGTCATAATGTAGCCTGTTGTTAGGACGATTTCCATCTTGATCTCGATTCAGGACTGACTCATGTTAAAAAAATATATTAACAAAATTGTAAGCTTTATATGATAAAGAAAGATAGAGAATGCGAAATGCGATTATCATAACAAACTGAGATCGCTCGTGTCTCAATGTTAGTTAAACTCACCAAAATAGCAGCTTGTTCCGTTTCCTTGGTACCAGGAATTGAAGCTACATCGATAGGAACCAACGGTATTGTTGCAGTAGGCATTGACGTCATAGTCATGCGATTTATTGGCACATTCGTTGACATCTGAACGAATGCATAAAAAATAAATGGTTTGAACTCAAGAGCAAGAGTCCATCGAAAATGACGGTTATTGGCGAAAGCGTCTCGCCTTATAAGCAATTGAACATGACATTGCTTGGGGGACAATTCTAATCGGTCATAAAGCAATTTTTAACCGAGTGTCCTGGTTAAGCCGGGATTGTTCTGGTTTTGCTTTGTTTAAAGTGAATTACTTGAGGCAATAATGAAAGTCATTTCAATAACTTACCGACACACTTTTTTCCGTTTCCAGTAAAACCCGCTTTGCACGAGCAAATGTGAGAACCGATGGTGTTCACGCACTCTGCGTTGACGTCACACACGGGAATTGTTGAATTACATTTGTCCAAGTCTTAAAAAAACAACATAGTTTGCGATCGGTTGAAAAGCAAAAGGAGGGTATTTGCTGAATTAGGACTTGTTCGTGGATTCATCAGACCAAATGCTTCTCACATATCTTCCGGCGGAAGCCAAAATTTACTCTGCCGCTCCTTCAGGAAGCAAAATTTCCCCTCCCCTATTCGTGAAATTTCGTCACCATAAAGATGTGAGAACAATTTGCTATTGAATGATTATCTCTGGGTCAAAAAAGAGATTTTTCAATTCTATTTTACCTGTTCTCAAATCGATCAGTTTAAGAGAGATGATAGCATTCTTCCATAGCTTTGTTTCCGTCAGATATCTTACTATTTTTATTTTATTTTGTTTTTCTTTATTTTTTCATTTCCCCCTACGAGTGAATTGATTTTTTTTGAAGAAGAGAAGGAGGGGGGCTGGGGGTTGCAATCTACCCATAAAATCTCTGTCAACGCTTTTGTTAGCAGTAAACCGTTTTTGGTCGGTAGAAGATGTGAATTGATAAACACTTGAATTCACCTTCGGTTTTCATGTCACAAGGAGCCATAGCGGTCCTCTCGGGTACAATCGAATGAAACCAGTATTTGCCGCTGATCACTTGTCCTCCTTCGCTCATTTTGATTTCCTGGCAGGTCTCCGCAGGCAGCTCAGGAATGGAACCGAGAGGGACTGCAAGAAAAAAAAAGCAACATTGGCATAGCACTCCAAGTAAGCAAGACTTGATGTTCCTCTTGGGGGCGAGGACGCTCATATTGAGGGCGACTTGACTTAGGGCAAGAAGTTAGGTGATGTGAGACAATTCCTTAATTTTGGGTTGAGTTTTTGTGCTCTGAAAATGTCTTTAAAGCGAATAAGACAGTTCAAAGTGTAAAAACCTCTTTTGTAATCTCGCTTAAAGTAAAATCTCTCAGGGTTCGGAACATAATCCTCTGGTTTGGCCTCCTGGGTTCGGTTGTTCAGCTCACAAATGTCTCGTCTTCATCTGAAGTCAGCATAGCATCCCCGCAAGCTCACATCTGAAAGACCAGCCCCTGTGATTCTCTTCATGATGTGGTGTTGTAGCATCATACCAAATTTGGAAACTTCCGGCTGGCCCGTAGCCGCCAATTGCTATGCAGCTGTACAGCATAACAGCACGCTTTAGATCAACAACCCTACTGCGTACAAGACCTTTAAGGCCGTTTTCTCTCGATGCATGTTTTGGAAAAAAACTTTCACTGAAAAGAAAAAGGCAAAAAATATTCTGGTGCTAAAACTTTCGCTAACTTTCTTTTTAGTCTGTAGACTGGTTTTTTTGTGAGTTCACAATCAACATGCATGCTTCTATGTTTGTTATTTGACTTTATTTTCATTTGTTTATTTTTTAAGAATTGCAAGCACAGAAAAGTTAGATGTATTTGCCAAAACGGACCTTAAATTTGAGGAAAAGGGGTGTTTGTTCAATGCTAAAACGTATTTTGTCATTCGATATTTGTTATTTTTTACCATTAGCTTGATTTGTGCGATCCATCCGGCAAAAATTCGTTCCACTGATTTCTGATACTCACTCAATTATAACGGCCGCAGTTACTAAACTTTTCAAGTTGCAAAGTGAGGACATCAAGATATTGCCTTTTGAACACATTCATTAAGAACTTTCAAGTTATCGGTGCAGGCAACTGGAATTTTCAAAAAAGACTGAAATAGAAAGTTGACTACCGAGTGAGAAAACAAATGTAAACAGCGTAATGTAGACAGTTGAATGGAATGTGAAAATCCTGGTGTCCTTGGGTGGAAATGATATGCTTCATTTACCATACGGAATACGGACAATTTTTAAACTGCATTATTGAACAAAAATATTAATGAAATATAAAAAAGTGTAGTCGGAGCCTTTCATGAACTGCATTAAGTGTCTGAGCCTGGAATCTTCGCGGGGAATCAGGATATGTTTCACACTTGAGTCAGATTTCAAACACGACCGTTTCATTCTATCTTCACCCAAATGATCTCTGCGATACTTGTAAGACGCTGAGGAGTGCTTGCATGTAAACTTGGCGAAAGAGAGGAGCTTGCCATTTTCTAAAAATTTGTTTCCGCTGCTGCATCGTCGAGCAAAAGGAAAAACTTGGTTAATAATCAAACATGAGTTTATAAAAGAAGCGAAAACCACCGCAGCGAAGTTTGGAAAACTGAATTCATAGTTTCGAGTATAGTCGCTTTGAGGGAGTAATACGATGCTTAGTTTATCAATCAACGAGCTCTTTTTCAGAATATGCTGGGATTTGAGTATTTTCAGAGGTTTTCCAACACTTATGAAACGAATTTCAACTCTTTCTTCACGTTTTAACGTTTCTCGCAAAAATATTTTAGGTTTGGCGAAGGCAGCAGACGTAGATAGAAATGAAAATAAAATAAAATTAAAGAATGAATCTTTAGTAAACGTATTGTAAGAAATAATCTTTAAAAAATTAAAGAATGAATCTTTAGTAAACGTATTGTAAGAAATAATCTTTAAAAAATTAAAGAATGAATCTTTAATAAACGTATAGTAAGCCTTAGTAAAAACTCTCCTGACTAAGCTAATATCTCCCCCATCCTATTTTACTCTCTTACCACAGCAATTAAGCCTCTTGTTGCCAGAAATAAACTCGTTCAGTTTTTTGACATAATTTCTGGGTTTCATCGAGACACCGACAGTTTTTAATTTCCTTTTTTTTTCTTTACATAGCCCTATCTGTAAACGAAATACTCTACAACTAAGCACAAATAAAATTATTTCCCTCTGTTTTCTCCGAAAATGTTTCTTTGCTGGCGATTCTTGTCTGTATGTTAGTGCAGCTCTTGCATTTGAGAACAGTGCAAGTGCTGTCCGACCTTATTAACAGGTGGAAAGGAACTTATTCACATTGGTTACTATTATCCTGTTATCGTACCTACCTGATGAGGAATTCCCCAAGAGAATATTGGCTACTAAAATTAACCACATTTTGAAATTTTCAATCAGTCAAAAAACCTCACGTTAACATTTCTGCAACCTTTCATGACTATAGAAGAAGTTCTGAGTGATTCGTATCAAACCTTCCAATAGAGAAACAGGTTAAAAGTGACTTTGGAAATACTCACATTTGCTTTGTTTAATAGCGCTTTCCTTATGCTTTCCATGACGCTTAGTGTATCTCTAACCTGAAAACAAAAATGTATTCCAAACCTTCCTTGCGAACCACACACGTCAAGACTGATGGAAAATTTATTAATTTTTTGAACTTCCGGTATTTTTGTTTTGTTTGGTTTTGTTTTTGTCGTGTTACTGACGTCTTCAATGTGCGTAAGTTATTAGGAAGAAGGTTAAAAAGAAATTTGTTTCCAATTTTTATATTCCCAGACAAGTAAAACAATGTTCATCGCTGGAAAAAGTTCTGAAGTAGAATTGGACAACTGATATTTTCCTGTTCACAGTCTGTCCGACTTTTACAGCAAGTCAAGCAGTTCAAGTTGTCTTACTGACATTTGGGGCAAGCCATGTTGTTGTATAAATTTCTCCTTGGTTCAGATGATTGATTTCTGGTCCAGAAATTCTGCAGTTCGAAACCTTAATAAACCCTTTACACCCTAACATCACTATGTATATTCTCCATACTGTTCTCTAAACATTTCCTAAGGAGCTGACAAGGAGAATTTGGTTAGCAATGTAGAGCTTCTTTAGTTGGTGATCATTTTACTCATTCTCGTGACCTTAATGTTAGATTCAGGGGTGATATTGTGAGGAGAAATTAGATGCTAGTCACTCTTAGAAGTCAAAGGGTTGAGGTATTTTCTGACAAGTGCTGAACAGCAAGGATCGAGATGCACCTATCAGAGCTGTTGAATAACAACTAATCACAGCAGAGCATCATGCTTTATAAGATCAGGCGACCTCATCGCCTCAAGAAGACTAGCATTATGCAGCCGAAACGTCGCGATCTACATCACACGTGACTACATCGTGAGACAAAAAAAAAAAAGCTTTTTTATTGTTATTCACCACGATGAATAACCACAACCTTTTCCACGATTACTTTTATTATCACATAAAGGGAAAAATTCTGTACAAAAGAAAAATTTCAAGGTCTTGCCGTCGCGGTAGCAGGTTTGCAAGTTGTTATTAAAGAGTAAGATAACAGTAGAACAGGAGAAACCTGTGGCCTAATTAATCTTAGAGGAGGGATTCTTACATTTTTGGCTGACACACTAGAAAGAAATAAGGCTGCTGGTCTTAAAGAAGGTGTAAGTGGAGCAAAACGAAAATACCGCCACTGCATGGTCACTTTTGAAGATATGCAATTGTAAAAACCATCCCTAGACCCAGGCCGCCTCGTTAACATTAGTTATTTCGCGCTCTGCATGCTAATTTATTATTCAGTCTGCGAGTCACATTATTCAAGTTAGTTATCAGTTGTCCGTTGTCAGTCAAGTTTCGTAGTCAAGTTTCGTAGTCAAGTTTCGCTTCTACGGCCCTTATCCCGTCACGTCTGGTACGTTCTTTATTCTAGTTGTGTTTGCTTATTAGTTTATGCTTCCTTGTGTTCGATTTCTCCGAGTAATTTTATTTTATTCATCTATTTAGAAACCACATTGGCAATTACGTAACTATGGTGAGACATTAAATCGAAGTGAAAACCTATTGCTGGTGTGCGTCGTCTATAGCAATGTTATTTTACTGAAGAAGATTTTCATCAACGTAACATCGATGAGCACAAACAACATTTGCTAAAACTGGAAGGTGCTGCTTCTTAATGTCTGGGAGATTTTTATTCTAAACATTATGGAATTAATAGTAGAACTGTGCTGCTTGAATCATACTTTGATCCTTGTGAACAACTTGTTCAAGATATCATGCATGTCTTTCTTGAAGGGATTTTATGTGAGATAAGGCTTCTCCTAAACTACTGTATAAATGAAATTAAAGTATTTAAGTTGATAGATTTGAATTCCAGAATACAAGGATTTCCATATGGGTTCTCCAATAGCAAAATTAAGCCAGCAGTTATTTTGGATAAGGATTTACAACAAGGGCCTTCTACAAATACGGGACAAAGTGCCACTCAGATGTGGCTTCTTTGTAGTGTGTTGCCTTTTTATTCTCGCTGAATTCGTAGACATTGACACTGACAGATAGAAATGTTTTATTTCCATCATTGAAATTGTCTCTTTGTTTTGCCCATAAGATCTCCATAGCTGCTACTGTATACTTGAAAAAAGCTATCAAAGACCACTTGACCCTCTTCAAGACTGTGCATAAAGACATAGACATTACACCAAAACAACTCTATCTTGTTCAATTGCCTTCTCTAACTTTGAAATTTGGTCCTTTAATCCGTTCATGGTGTTTGCGCTTTGAGGCTAAGCATGCTTATTTCAAGGATCAAGCAAGGATTACAAAGAACTTTAAACAACTACCATCTTCATTGTCAAGGAGGTATCGGTCTTCTGTCCAAGCTGATTATGTTAGGCTTAACAAATAAGATAAAGGTCCCCTCTTTTGGGAAGATATTAAATTTGGAGTAAGTAAGGAACTATTTGGTGATGACCGAGAGACTGCATGATCAAACATAGAACGGTTTTATGAATTGGGGAGTCATGATGGTATTACAGTTTATTCCTTAGATTCGGTACATGTCTACGGCACTTAATACAAGCCTGATAAAGATGCTTTTCTGAATTTTGGGAGTCGGAGTGGCTTGCCAGAGTTTGGTAAGATTATCAACATTTGGTTTATTGCCAATCATGGCATTTACTTTGCCCTCCATGTGGTTACGACTTTAAATTCTAATGAGGATCCGAATGCTTTCGAGATCAAGGAAGCAGATCTTCCTCAGGGATTTGAAATTGTCAGGCAAAACAACCTTGAGATGCTATTTGTGTGCCACCCCTATAACTTTAGGGTAAATACATATGTAATTTTTAAAGGAAAATCCTTTTGTTTGGTTCTAAAGGTCACATATATTGTGATCATTTTTGCTGATGGTTAAATATAACTTTGGCTGTTATTCACATGGTTTGCTAAGTAAAGAAACAGTTTAAGTGGTTCATTGAATATTAATTATTGATACATAATTTTCTACAATCATGAAAGTATAGTTTGTGTGTTAACTTGGAGTTAGAGTGTTCACATATGACATTTAATTTTCCTCGTAGGAGCTGCTCTCATATAAAATTGATGACACAGGGGCTTAACAGTTTGAAAGGAGCCTAGAACGTACAGGATAGAATCTCATTTTCAGTGTGTCACTTGAATTCATTTCCACCCCTATATTGCATCAGAGGTATTCTCTAAAAAGTAGTTTCTGTCATTTCAATTACAATTTCAAATCTTGAAAGGTTCCAGGCTAGGATAACAATAACAGTGCATTTGGTCATTTTAGATTTCACCCTTGGTAGTTCACTTTTATTTGAGAGGAGTCCCTTTCTGTGGTGACTTGGTTTATAATACTGTTTCAGTTTAGTTACAATATTTTCAGCACAAGTTCTGAGTCAAATCATATTTGATAGTAATATAATTTGAAATTAATAACAGGATTTTGACACAAAGTTTTAGTTGTTTTAGTGTCATTCATAGTGACAATGTGGGAACAGCCTTTGTTTTTGCAATGTATTTAACCGTTCAATAGATGGTCAAAAAAAAATAATTTATAAGTGGCTATAAGTGGCTAGGAGTTCACTCTGTCTGATGCAATTAATTTTGATGATTAGTATTTTTAAGACCTCGGCAAATAATTTTTGTCAAAACCTCACTATTCGACCAGGAAAGCAATAGGGCCGGTCTGAGTTTAAATTGAATTCCTAATCTTTAAATCAATAACCAAATCTCTTAAAATAAGAATGAATTGAAGCATCCATAATTAAAATGCTTGGCGATTTCAACAAATCTTAAAACAATACTCAGACACTGAAAACAATTTTCAGTTCAACGCCTGGCATTCTTAAAATAAGATTGAGGTTGTTAAGTTCAAGGACCCAGATCTTGATTTTAATTGATCAACTTTTGGAGTGCCACATGGCCATCTGTCTACAAACACATCGCAAAGCGATTCTTAACAACGAAATAGAACCTGGAGAATATAATGAAAGGTTCAACCAATTGTATTTAACACACTCTACACAAAATGTTCGTCAAGACACTACCACGAAAACATTTACTGCTTAAATTACATTACAAAACTTGTTGCACATTCGATGGTTTATTGCGTTTCAGCGACATTATCGAGTTACGCCAGCGATGCGATATTGCACTTACACAATCCTCAAATGTTTTGATTACTAAGTTTTGGATAGCAGAAGCACTCCGATCAATTTCTTTCCTCGCATTGTCGAGTCCTGTCGTTTCAAAGCCCGCTCATAACGCCACATCGCCTCTCCTGCCATGTTTACGCTTGGATCACTGTCTTCCCCATAACTTACGTCATCAACTTTGAGAGGAACCGCTGACATGTGTGTTCTGAGTCGCCGTACCACGACAGCACATCGAACCAAATATAACGACAAACTTTTCGTTTTTTGCATGGAAGATTTCCTTTAAGCGGAAAAGAAGGACGTAACATCGTTTTTAGTGCATAATTGAACAAACTATGTTGAAAAAAATTACTTGATTTTGGGTTTCAGTTCTCCTTTAACACCGGGTTGGTTGGGACAGGAGCCCGGGGAGCCATATATGGGCTTGACGGATATGTACCGCTCAACAGGATATGCTTTTTGCCTCTCTGTCTCTGAAACAGGGTATAGAAATCACCCTTTTTCTCTGGAAGAGGGTATCTTTTGTTTTAGATTTGACTCTGGAACAGGGTCGCCTTTTCCCAGAATTCTGATTAATCACAAATCATAAACGGTATAAAAGAAGAAAGTGATTGTCTAAGAAACTGATTGTCCATGAGTGGATAACTGTCTGGAATTGGGTACCTATTTTCACAATTTTTGTCTGGAACAGGGTTGCAAATACACCTTTTTTTTCTCTCTGGAAAAAGATCCCCCCCAGGACAGTGGCCTTATCTCTGTGAAGGATAAGTTCGGCTGCTGCGCGCGCTACGTGAAATGAGGCTACCATTGAAATGATAATGCTTATATAAATCCTGACCAACGATTATTGAAATACGACAAATCCATATTATATTACTGGAGTATAGATGTATTATCCAGGTGAGAGTGTTCGTCATTGCTCTTAGATCACGTAAGTTCTAGCCCATTTCCAACCTTGATGCAACGCAATCGTTTGTTTTTGTTTAGAACCACCCCTTTTGTTTAAATAGCGTCTCTGATTGGTCAGTTATTTTTACCTTGTTACGTTGTCTCAAAATACCTCGAGCGTTTTCGCCGATGAATTTGAAGAGCTTGTCAAAGTAATTCTGGTTAAAACAATTCTATACGTTTCAATCCGGCATGGAATCAGATGAATCCATTGATTTTGTAGATTCCGAGGCAGTAAACGCTTATGGATTGGTTGTTGCTAAAGAGGAACACGAAAATCCTTGCGAGTATTTCGAAGAGGGTGAAAATGTTGATCCACCACGTTTTCATCCATTCATCAATTTTTTTTAATTGAAGTTTGCTATCCTTATTAAATAGGACCAAGAGTCAGTTGCAGGTTTCTGCCTGTGGAGAGGAGCTTGCGCTCGAAAGAGTGGTCGAGGTTGTTGTGCATGCAAAGCAGCAAATAAGAATCGTAACGCAAACTGTCAGTGTCGCTGACATTCCTGCCATATTTCTCTTCGAAATCCAAAAAATATTAATAAGAAAATATTCTACCTTTATTTAAAATCCTCAAGCGCTTCCAGGCAGCCTAAAATTTCGAACTTGATGTTTTTCGCTAACCCTGTTTACAGGGTACGAAGCCATCCAAACGCTTGACACTTAACACTTTTTCAATGACACGGCAGGACACGGTCCACAAATAACCCCATGTTTCTCTCTGAAATATACCAATCTTTCGTTGGAAAATATTCTACCTTCATTTACAATCCTCAAGCGCTTCTAGAAAGTGAAAAAACTCTAACGTCGTCCGTTTCGCTGACCTTGTACGCGTGACACCAAGAGAATTTTCACCGGACACGGTCTTCGAATAACTAAACGTCCAGCAGACTGATATTTCTCAATATTTCTCTTTGAAAAATGACAATTTCTATCGGAAATATTTTATCGCCATTTAGAATCCTCAAGCGCTTCTAGAAAGTGAAAAAATTTGAACCCTTTTCGCCGACTCTGTTCACAGAGTACAAAGAGTTCCAAGCATGACCCTTTTCTTCTTCAAAATTTTCTTCGGATTCTTCCGGACAAAATTCAAAATACTCTAAGGAAACTGCAAAATGACGAACAGCGAATGTATTTACCGTAAAACAGTTGACTATATGTCCAGGATGGCTCTTGAGAAAGATGATTTTAGAAGGTTTTCCGTGATCTGGGAATTTCGTGTTATAGGGAATTGGGTCACGGCGCGCGTGGCATGTGCCTTTAAGAATAAGCGCATTCAATAAGTAAGTCTATTGATCAAAAGAACAAAAGAACCGCTATCTTCAAGAATTCCTGATTCTTGTAATGTTGTATTTGGTTTTCTTCAAGGATATTTTCATTGCAGTCTATTGCTACTTAATCCTGTTTTGTATTCTTAACTAAAAATGATTTGAGCCCTGTCTGAAATTGAATAGCCACAAATGGCAGGTGTCTCCTACTCTTTCCCTCCCTTCCCCCCCCCGCCCCCAAGCAGCACACTCACATTTTGCACCTTGCTGCTGCGAAAAGGAGATAAGCACTCTTGTATAACGCTCTTTGGAGTTAGGAAACTGTTGGTGAAAAAAAAAAAAAGAGTGATGTACATACGTTGTTATGTATACGTTGTTCAGCAAGTCCAGTCTTATCACGAAGTAACAAAAATAGACGGACTTCGTTGTTGGGACACCACAAATGTAAACTGCTAATAAAACAAAGGCTATAGCAAATTCATCGCAAAAAGAAAATGTTTAATCTCTTTTGCTACAGTAGTTGCAAACAGTGCAATTGAAATATGAAGTAAAGAAATTAACTTCCCATGCACACTGCTGGTCGTATGAAAAAGAAAACACGCATATAACACTTTAAGAAATCAATGAATATCTAAATACAGCTACTTTTAAGTAATAAGCCGGCTGGTGTGTGTAATTTCACAGCTGGCTCCATCAAATCCTTAAAACAATTTTACTGATGCAGGTAAAGCCACATAGAGTGTGGCAGAGGTCGGTTAAATGCACGAAAGCTCCCCAATTTTAAAAACTTGAACTAATTACCAATGTAACAAACAATGCATGTGTAGTGCTTTCTAAAGCTACGTCAAGTGAAAAAGAAAGTGTAAGGACAGTTCGTTTTTGAGAATGTGGTGGATCAGGTTTGAACTCCATTTGGCAGCCATCTCGGAATCAAGTACGGATAGGTCAAATAATTATCTTCCTTCCTCTTTCGGTTCTTTTCTTGCATGTGAGGCTGAATAACATTCATGAGGTAAGTGTAATAACCATTGACGAGTTTGATGGCCTGAGGATCAAGAAGTTCGTTGCCGTAGTCAAACAAGGAGTCAAAGCGGAACAGCGAAAGGATGTTACTAAAGCTGGCTTCGATCTGTGGAGTGAAAATAGAAAAAAAATTAGTTTTGACTATCTGATGTTCAAACTTAATCAATGTTCTACTCACCGTCTTTCTATCAAGTGTATCATGGCTTTTTAAATCAGTGGAGTACGAACGCACTAATTCAATAAATTATTTGCTACCGGAGTGCCTGCCTGACTAACCGACTGGCATAAAGGTTGATTGCGTTTACTGACTGCCTGAGATAGGTGTTAATTGCTGACTCCCAATGCATGATTGACGGGCGTGTAGGTTTAAACACTGTTTGCCTATCTGGCTCCTTGGGTAAATTTCTAAATCAGCCACTGACTGACGGCAGCTCGGCGTGCCACAGCCATAACTGGCGTACATTCCGACAGAGTCACATCACTACGTATGAACAGAATGTCTAAGGAAAACAGAAACGCCAAAAATACCCTGAAGGAAAATTGCCCCTCGAAGCAGATGTTTACACTACCGTAGAGAGCTCATAAACTGTAACAGACACGTTCTCCCCTTCCACCTTATTCATTTTGTCTGTTTGGAAAAACGTTGTGTACAATGCATTTCCAATATACCCCTGAGTACATTGTGTTGGGGGAGGTCAAGGAAGGAGCTAAATAATGATTTAGTCCCAGACTCACGAAATTCAAACTAAATAATGATTTAGTCCAGACTCACGAAATTCAAACTAAATAATGATTTAGTCCAGACTCACGAAATTCAAACGTACGAGTGACCAAGTCGCGATTTTTTTTAGTTTTGCATCTGATTGGCTGAGAGGGTGGCACGAGTTTTCTAGACCAATCACAGCACACAGTAAAGCAAAACCAATGCAATCTCGGATTACTTTCGACACTCAGTTGAAAATTTCTCAAACGGCACAAGCTAAATTCACATGATTAAACCTGTGATCATGCCATATCCAGCGTATAGGTGTTCAATATGGTCGCACAACTTACAGAGGAAGTGTTTCTGTTTGGCAGACGTAGTACAGAGTATTCGCCTTCCTTCACCCTGGTATCGTTGTACAGTTTGGTTGGTAGGTTGGGAGTGTACAGACCATAGTCTGTCAGGGGATAGTTTACAGCAGCGTGTTGGACGCTCAGTTGTGAGATAATGCGGGTCACAATGTCACAGAGCTCATCTTTAGTCGCAATCTTTGAGGGTAATCCTTTGATCTGTTAAAACGCAGAATAAAGCATTTTATATAGCATTGCGAACTTATAACGGATTTCAGTGTTTAAGTGATTGATGTCCAGTATTAAGTTTGTTTTGTCTGTTTGTTTTGTGTTTTGTTTTCGTTTTCTAAGTTAGTTGGAAAATGTGTTAAAAGGAAACAAATCGTTAAACAAGGTCGCATCGGGCCAAATTCTTTTGCTTTAATAGAATCTGTATCTTTTCGGAAAATTCCAACATGGCGACCGTCTTCGATAACGCCTCGCCCCAGCATCGCCGTAACCCAGAATGTTTACAGTTGTGCCTCATCACAGGCTATCTATTTAAGTTTTAATGATTTAAAAATGTTAAATGTAACACAATGTTATCTATAAAGAAAACCCTTGGGAGAGGAATGGACGTCCGTCGGCCTAAGACGGTAACGTTACTATAATCGATGATTCAGACGCCAAAAACTAAGCTGACAACAGCAGGTACTCGAAGTTACACAGTGCACGCCATATATCCCTCCATCACTGGTCGAAGATCAAGATATTTAAGCAGACGAATTGTAGATATATAAAACCAAAGACAGCAAAAAACAAACCACTATAACAATCAGACTTTTTTACACTTACTTTCCCATAGCCGCCGTAAAAAATCGGAAATGAATGAATAGACAATTCACGGAGGAATGATCCAAACTCATAATCCTTTTTAACATCCTCATTGCCGTAATAATACCTGAGAAAACAGTACAATGCAAAACGTTTACTGACATTCCCTACAAGGTGTTTTCTAAGTTACAATTAGTGCTTTTTGTGGAGACAATTGAAAAAATCACCACTAAATTGGATATACATAGATGGAATGATTGTATGCCAAGACTAGAAGTCATCATCGACGCCCTGGCTGCTTTTGCAACTACAAACATTACCTTCTAAAGGAGAGTCCAAAGTTAGTGTTTTAAACCTGTACCTAGTACACAAAGGCATATCCTGCCACGAGCTATCTGTTGCTCTCTGGTTGTGCACTCGACCAGAAATCAGAAGGTCTAAGGTTTGACTACTCATTGGGGACATTGGACATCGGACACAGTATCACTCTAACGCAAGAATCATACTCGGTATAAAAATACCTTAGAAAGCTAACTTTTTAAGGCGCTGCAGTGCTGCGTCGACAGGCATGTAAAATATATAGTTTTAAAATAGTCGACGTGAACTGCCATGGCGAGCTTAGGAAAGCTGGTGTCACGAGGTTTAGCCCTTTTCGGCGGAACTGTGTTGTTGCTGTTATCCCAACACCCAAGGTAGATGGGCTAACATTATTTAACTAACTAGTGTTCTTAGTGAGTTGGTCTTGATAACTAGGAGTTAGTTCAGAGCTACAATTTTTTCCAGTATTTTCCCGTGAAGTAATACTTACAAGTCGACGTAACCCTTCACCATATTTTCGATAATTTTCAAAATTTGCTCTCCATCATCACGGTAAGGATAGTACGGAAGAAGCTTCTTGTCATCGACTCCGCGTTTCTATTCATCCAAAAGAAATGAAAAAAGTCCACACTTGATTGTAAATGTATTACAGCACAACATACTCAATTTCCAAGCTATGTGTTTCCACAAAATTGCTCCTTTTAAAATTACTTTGCAAGCGCATGCACCGGGTTCGTAGGCCTATTCGTACAGACTATTCTTGCTATGCTCGAGTTATAGTTAAATAAAACAGAATTCATTTTTGTTCTATTTATGTCGCTGCAGTTCTTTCCTTCCTTTTAAACAATAATTCAGGTAAGGTCATCATGTCAAAGACGCCATTAGAAATAATGGAGACTGGAGTACTATATATGGATCACCGTTTCAACTTGCATTTTGATTTGAGACGTGTAGTACATTATCTGTGAACGCTTTTCGAGTAAAATACTCGATCGAAGATGTCGTATTCATTTGGTATGATTTAAGGCTCCAACGTACATGTGTGTAACCGAATGTGAACAAAAAGGGGCGGCAGAAGAAGGCTTGATAAAAAGGGGAAAAGAAAAGAAGTATTAGGTACAAGTTTATTAAAGGACTGCATGAAAATATATGAGTTCAATTTTTTCTTCTGCTTAGGCTCTTTTGTTGGAGAAAAGGGTTGACTGTCTATTCTTCATGCGAATATATAGTCTGAATATTGTGGTCAATAGGAATACATTTATATGTCTTTTTAAGCCTGAAAAAGTGTTTTGGTTGACCGAAATGTTTTGAATTTTTATAGGTTGAAACGTTAAGGGGAAAACCGACGCATCACATACCTTTATTTCGTTTCTAAAATCTGTGACATCCCATGTGCTTAAATTATGTGCTTCTCTAAGAAGTCGGGTGGTTCCATTATTTCCAAATGCAAACAGCTGATCCATAAACTCTCCTTCGCCAACAAGTTTTGGAGCACCAATGGTATTTGGGACTGTCACGTCCCTGCAGTGATACTTTAAAATTTGATGAAGTGGATGAGAGGACGACAGGGTGCGTTTCAATACCACGCAAAATGGCTCCATCAAAAAATGAACCTTGTAAGACAAGCATTATGGTTCAACGTCGTGTGGTATAACTACTTTAAAACATATCTATAAGAAATTTTCGATATAACGCGCGGTCTGATTGGTTGAAATAGCGTGCTCTATGAGAGTTTATATAATAAGCTCAGTTATGCACGAATTCTGATTGGTTCTCACTTATGATCTATTGGAGGACAGACGAATAGATGACGTCATCATTAAAATTTTTTTAAAACTCTTTATTATATAAAACAAATAGATTCCAAGTTGCTGTGCGTCTGTTCAGTAATAGATCACAGAGGATGTCAAAATGTGGTAAGAACATCAGTGACACACTCGGCTGCGCCTCGTGTGCCACTTTTTTGTTCTTACCACATTTTGACGTTATCTGTGATCTATTACTGAACAGACACTCGGCAACTTGGAATCTATTTGTTAAATAGAGCACGGTGATTGAAAATTGGCGAGTAAATTTTACTAATTTTTGCTTCGGCGTTATCTTGAAGAATTTGACCTAAAGTCAACGAAAAGAAAACGAGCTATTTGTCTAAAATAAAGATGGACTACGTGGAGACAATCATTAATCACAGTGGTGTTTAAAATGCTAGTAAATTGCAAGTAAAGAAACGTTTCCGTCAAACTGCCGATGAAAATACAGCACTCGAGTAGCGAAATAAACAAGTGTCTCTCGACCTAATGAACTCTTTAATAAATGGCGCTTCATTCATCACAGACGAAGTAATTACACTGTAAATGTAAAAATCAGCGAAAGGAAACAACACATGAGCTGTCTGCGTTTCTGAAAAAACGAGCTTTATTTTTGTGAAGATGTCGATAAAAGAGTATTGAAAAGCTTGCGTGAGGAGCGTACGCTCGTTCACCACAAAAGCGATCTACGGTCATCTCAGCGGAGCAAACCTCAACATTTACAATGCTCACTGTTCTAGTGATCCGTTTAACGATTGCTCTTGCATTCTCCCGATGTTCTGGGTGAAGCAGTTCAGTTGTTTTGCCCTTGTCGCCATTTCGGGCAATCCCTTTGCTGCCGTAAATTGTTCATCATTTCAAACTCAGCTCAGCAAATTAAAAAGTTTCAACAAAAGCTTCGAGCTCTTTCTTTCGCAATACGCCACAATTCAGCCGGATTTCATCGAACAATTGCCTTTTCCGATCCTATTTTTTGCATTAAATCGAAGGCACCCGTGGAATTCCCAGGAGTGCCTATAAAAAATTTCTAGTTGTGACATACCTTGCCAAGATGCTCCACAATTTGTGCATATCCGAGATCTGTAACCTGGACATTCAATTTGGCCAACATCCAGTTGTCATCATCCTCAGGAGTGTATACGGATGAATCTGATGAGGAAAAGATGTTAGCTCAGCCAACTGGTTATTTCATTTACTATTTGCAAAACGGTACTAGATTTATTACTATGTACCTATGCTTCATACTGTGATTCATCCCAACTTAACAGACAGTTTAAATCAGACAGCAGATATTTTTTTTTTCGTTGACTGAGTTCCTCTTTCCTATAATTTCGTTCTTTTCAGGCTATTTTGACCTGCTTTTTTCCCTCAAAGTGATTTTTACCTGACTCAGAAATAATCCCATGACTACTTGGCCAGCAGTTTAGTCGTTTAAAAAAAAAGGAAATATAAAATGATCACATTGCCCAAACTATTCGATTTCCGAAGCACGGCGAAACAAGGCTAACAAGATTATGGCGGAAAGGTAATGTTTAGTAAATATTAACTTCCTAAATCTTTAATACACTGAACCTGGAGTGTAGTCCATTTGGATGGCTACAGGGACAAGATCATTGGTTTTTGTCAGGAAATCTTGCTTAGACGCAAACAGAGCAATGGGAGAGAGTGTGTCCCACATTTTCCTCTTGGGATCATTGTCAGTAAGGTCCACTTCTTCTCTGGGTAGGTCGTCACACAACTCGTAACGAAGAACGTAGACTCGACCCTGATAAATGGCCTGAAAACAAAAGATAGATAAATAAATTGATTAAAATTTATAAATAATTAGACAAATTAGTAAATGAATAGAGAAATAAATATCAAAACTGAACTTTAGAATGGAGCTTTTCTCCAAACCCACTAGTTAAGCGACAGTTCTGGACTTAGTCTGTGTCCCCCCACGCAATTAGTCGGCTTAATTTACAAAAAAATAAAAATTATAATACCTTTGTTCTAAAGTTAAGCGCTTTAATAAGAAACTTTCCTTCGAACTGGTGCGGCTTAAGAAGTTGTATTTTAAAGCCTTTGGCTTTTATGTTTTGGACGGTAATAATACCTCTTCTAACGTGTGATTGGTTTCCAAAGCTTTTTGAACAGCACCTTCCCAGTCAAATTCTGGATTCAGTGTTTTATTGAGTGTGTCCCAATCCAACCCTACTGAACCTGGACGAGGATAAAGGAATGATTGAAAGAAAACAATGTAGGACATGTGCACACTTATTTTTATTTGTATTCGTTCCTGTCTTGTTATTATTGTTATCATCATCATCATCACCACCGTCATCATCATCATCATCATCATCATCGTCATTATTATCATTATATTCAATATGACTATTATCATCATAATGATTACCCTTTATCATCATCATCATCATCATCATTACCATCACTTTCATCCATATAATCATAATCAATATCAGTTTTCTTCCCATAATCACTAGAAGATGGATGACAGTTATTTACATTGTTCTTTCCATATCATTACTGCTGAAAGAAAGTGTAAGAGCCGGCAAAGAGCCAGCGTTTGAAAAAACCTATCGAGTACGATCCAAAGTTGAAAAGTGGCTAAAAAAAGTTATCAATGTTTTTCTGTAACTTGAAAGATGGTAATTGTTCTTCTAGCGACACCATTCGTAAAGGAAGTTTTACCAGCTTTGAGAGTCACTCGTCTCAGTGACATAGGGTTGATTCCTGCCAGACGCTGTTGAGTGAAGAACCTGTCACTTATCCACGTAGTCTTGTCGTCAATAAAGACTTCGTACTTCGATGGCCGCCTGTTATTAACCTTGAAGAAAAAAACACAGAGGTTTGTTCTACGAATGAAGAATTCTTAGTCGCCAGTTCGAGTGATTCAGTACATAAGCTAAATCACATGCTATACATGTATGTGTATAGCTTACCTAAGCTTTCGTTTAAAGCTGCTGTTGTATATTTTTTTGTCCATTAGCTTACACCAAGAAAATTTCTGCGTCCATACTGACCATTAAATCTTAGTAGCAGTAGTAGCTACAGAGGTGGATAGAGTACTAGTAGTAGTAGTAGTAGTAATAGCACTAGTAGTAGTAGTAGTAGTAGTAGGAGGAGGAGCAGCAGCAGCAGTATAAGTAGAAGTAGTAGTAGTAGTAGTAGTAGTAGTAGTAGTAGTAGTAGTAATATTAGTAGTAGTAGTACTAGTAGTAGTAGGAGTAGTAGTACTAGTAGTAGAAGTAGTAGTAGTAGTAGTAGTAGTAGTAGTAGTACTAGTAGCAGTGGTAGTAGTAGTAATATTAGTAGAAGTAGTACTAGTAGTAGTAGTAGTAGTAGTAGTAGTAGTAGTAGTAATATTAGTAGTAGTAGTACTAGTAGTAGTAGGAGTAGTAGTACTAGTAGTAGAAGTAGTAGTAGTAGTAGTAGTAGTAGTAGTAGTAGCAGTGGTAGTAGTAGTAATATTAGTAGAAGTAGTACTAGTAGTAGTAGTAGTAGTAGTAGTAGTAGTAGTAGTAGGAGGAGGAGCAGCAGCAGCAGCAGCAGCAGTAGTAGTAGTAGTAGTAGTAGTAGTAGTAGTAGTAGTAGTAATATTAGTAGTAGCGGTAGTACTAGTACTAGCAGTAGTAGTAGTAGGAGGAGGAGGAGCAGCAGCAGCAGCAGTAGTAGTAGTAATATTAGCAGCAGTAGTAGTAGTAGTAATATTAGCAGCAGCAGTAGTAGTAGTAATATTAGCAGCAGTAGTAGTAGTAGTAGTAGTAGTAGTAGTACTAGTAGTAGTAGTAATAAGCTTTATTTGCATGACCATAACGTTTTACAGTGTTGCAAAAGGAAAACCGATTAATAACAAAATAAGGCTAATAATACTCGAATATTCTTCTTAGTTACATCTCTTTTATTTGATATCAATAATGTATCACGTATATTTATACATGTGGATATAAACTTTATGACTATCTCAGTTACGCTGCGGTCATTAGAATTCATGAGAAGGTTTAAGCTTTCGTAGGTTGATTTTCTTTCAATGTCAGGTATTATTTCTTTGATTCGATTTAAGAAATTTTGTCACTGCAAAGTGCATCTATTGCACTGAAACAAGAAATTATTTTCATTTTCTATTTGATTTGATTTGCACAATGGGCAAAATCTATACTGAGCTACAGTCATTAGAAAAAGATCAAGAAAAACTTAACTAATTAGATCATGAGATAAGCGAGCAAGAAATACGTCAAGCAGTGAAGAAATTGAAAAATAAGAAATCTCTTTTCTTTGACCAAATGAGAAACGAAATGATCAAATCGAGCCTTGAATCGCTTCTGCCTGTTTACATCAAACTTTTAACCTCATTTTACAATGTGGAAAAATACTAGATATTTGGTGTCAGGGCCTTATAAGCCCAATCTACAAATCGGGTGACAAGAGTGACCCAACAAACTATAGAGTCATATGTGTATCTAGTTGCCAGTAGTATGTAGTAGTAGTAGAAGTAGTAGTAGTAGTAGTAGTAGTAGTAGTAGTAATCAATAAACAAACAAACAAACAAACAAACAAAAAGTTAGTCATACCCCTCCAGCCATCGCAGACATTTCAAAGAACTTTGACAAAATCCGGTAGCTGACCTTGTGGCTTATTTCTTTATCGGTGGTTTTATTGACCAAATAGTTGTAAACGATAAGGCTTAAGTCGGTGGTAAGGACAGTTTGAAGGTATCCCTCTAAATAAAACCTTGTGAAGGGATTTATGAAATCACGACCAATTAGTGTCCACGGGCTTGGTACATCTAACAGAGCGTATCCATAGGGGCTAACTTTCAACTTCCATTTGTCTTTCATCTCGCGAAGTTCCATAAACCTCTTGACTTTGCAAACAAAGTTACTCCTTTGAGGAAGAGAGACACTGCATTCCAGAAGCAATCCGAGCCTTAAAAAGCAAAGATTGTTTGCGTGACTATAAACTTTACAGTATTGCTAAAGCTTATACAATTATCTAAGTTGTATTCGAAAATCAAATTACATCGATAACAATTCGTCTTGAAAATTGAAGCAAGATGTAATAAATCTAATTAATTCTAAATTACGAACATAATTAGAAAAATTCATTAATTCTGTGGTCTGTTGATTGACTGGTAACTGCCTAATATTTGGAATCAAAGTCTGTATTTAATTGTAAAAAGTATACCTTATTAATGAGTATTTGGAACAGTGGAAAAGAAAATGGATTTCGTCTTCGATCTGATTAATTAGATCCACAGACTTGGCAGAGTCAATAATCTGTAGAGATTTGGTTGTATCTGCCAAGTTCAATCATAAGTTTTTGATTACTTCTGCGTGGTTCAGTTAAGACCCTTCTTTCAGATGTTCTTGTAATTAGGTCTAGATAATATAATGTGGAGGAGCATATTCGATTTTAAAAATTATATAAAAGATCGCGATAATATGATCAAATCATCTGCAATGTAGAAGGGAATTTAATTTTTCGCCGTTTGGTAGAACAAAAGGGTCAGATAAAGTATGTTGAAAGGAGAATGGTAGATTAATGATACAAAGATTAAAGAGCAATGGACTAAAAATACAACCATGGCGTACACCTCTTGCTTACTGAAAGGATCTTGTTTTCTTTTGACCAGTTTTGATTGAACATGAAGATTTGGAATAAAGGCTTTTAATCAAACTATAAAAGCAGCCTCACAGATTGATCGTGCCAGACTAAGTCAAAAGCCTTCCTGAAATCGTTCATTTAACAGTGATGTATGAAATACGGTTATAACTTATGAGTCTAACGCTAAAAATTTGCCTTTGCTTATTTTGATTTTGTCTATTTTTCTTTCGCTATGTTTGGTTTTGCGCCCACTTTTGTTTGTGATGATAAAAATATATTTATATTTTCTTCTCTAGTATACGCTGCTTGTTTATGTTAATACGTGTTGTGCCGATTTGTAATTGAGAATTATATGTGTTTAAAAACTTGTTTTCAGTTATACTAAATTCACGTCGTCCCTAGCCAAGCTTGATGTGTTACTTACAATTTAGCCATTTTTTTAATCCATTCCAAGTCTTTATCTGATATGTCCATCATCGGTACTTTCTTAACTGCGTGAGGCTTATCATCTTGGCCAGACGACAAACTAGGAAAAAAAATTAATGAAAAATATCTTGTATTATACTCTTTTTTATAAGAACCTTTTTTATTAAAACAGAAAGGCTGAGATTAACCAAAATTTTAAGAACGTATTGAGAACATTCCTCAGGCTGAGGGTCGATTAAGAACGTCATTTTGCTCATCTGTATATTAAATGACAAGCATAAAATAAAGGTAACAAAAAAAAAAGGAGCTCACAGAAATACTTAAGGGCACGTTTTCTATAACATTAACAGTGGTTTTCTTACTTCATGACGCACATCTCTCGGTTTGTAATAATCAGCAGTTCTTATATATAACTGTTTCAAAATAACTTAAATCCACACCATTGAAGTTATCAAGATTGTTGTATACGTATAGTATACGCTGGTTGTTTATGTTTATACGTGTTGTGCCGATTTGTAATTGAGAATTATATGTGCTTAAAAACTTGTTTTCAGTTATATTAAATCCTCATCGTGCCTCGCCAGGCTTGATGTGTTACTTACAATTTAGCCTTTTTTAATCCATTCCAAGTCTTCATCTGAAATGTCCATCATCGGTACTTTCTTGACTGCGTGACGCTTATCGTCCTGGCCAGACGACAAACTAGGAAAAAAATTAACGAAAAAGATCTTGTATTATACTCTTTTTTATAAGAACCTTTTTTATTAAAACGGAAAGGCTGAGATTAACCAAACTTTTAAGAACGTTTTAAGAACATTCCTCAGGCTGAGGGTCGATTAAGAACGATATTTTGCTCATCTGTATATTAAATGACAAGAATAAAATAAAGGTAACTGAAAAAGGAAGTTCACAGAAATACTTAAGTGCACGTTTTTATAACATTAACAGTGGTTTTCTTACTTCACGAGGCACATCTCTCGGTTTGTAATAATCAGCAGTTCTTATTTATAACTGTTCCAAAATAACTTAAATCCACACCGTTAAAGTCATCAAGTGATACAAAGCATTATCAAGGTAGTTGATAGGTATCCTGATCACATCCACATTGATTTATTAAATACTGTATACCATGCAAATTCAAGAACATCTTAAGAACGTTTTCAGCCTCAAATCGCAAAAAAAGAACGTTCAGCCTCAGCTCCAACAGTAGACGTTCTTATTAAAAAAAAAATTGAGAATACCAAAATTATTGTAAGATGAGATTTGAGATGTGGTTTACGAGGCGGGAAACAGAAAGAAATGAAAACAATAAATAAATGAAGTAAATTAAATAAAATAAACGAAAAATCTCAACAATGCATAATACTGAAAAGGTGCCGAGCTTCGTGACTGCCAATTTGTTAACTTCTCATTTTACCACTTATCGTTTTGCTGTGCAAATCACCGCAAAGGTTTCTATTTTGCTTGTAAATTCTGCGTGGTAGTTGAGATCAGACATGTGGGAAATGGGCTCAGACATGCAGAATTTCTTCACATGCTCGAGCTGGAACGTTTGTCGCAGGTTAATCCTGTAATTCCAATGCAATTTCTACCAAGAAACAAAGCTGTTACAATACAAACAAGTAAATGTGGGTTTGGTGTCCTCGAGCAATGCGTCCCCGAAATAGGGCTTTAAGTTTCCTTTTAACCATGGCTTCTACAAATTTGTTTTCGAGCTCGCTGTTGTCGGCGTCCTTATTCCTAAGATCTTAATTTAATGAGGTCTCCTCCCCTTATATTCGAATTCCGTGCGCCTGTGGTTTCAAGCAAGGAGTTATTCTAATTTGAAGATATTTATTTGCAAATAGCTATTTCAGAATTAGTTTTAATAGAATTACAAAAAAAGTGATAAGATTGATGAGATTAAAAAATAGTACTGGTTTTATAAATCGAAGAGTTGGAAGCTCCCTACTATAACAAGGAATATTTTAATTACACGAAAGAAAATTTACCTTGAAACTGCACCATAACAGGCGACTATGAATACTATACCAAGCAAAATGTTCGCGTTCATAACTGACACCGAAATTGCTCACTGTCTGTATGTGGCCTTTGTTGTCTCAGGACTTGAAGCCTGCTGTTTCTTGACAGTCAGTGAACCTATTTTTCAGGCAAAGAAATTTCATAGGTCAAATACAAACTGTATGTCTATATATAGTGAACTATCGGCCCACTTTGTAAATCACAGCTTTATATTTTGGTTTAGCTCCCAGGTGGCAATTATTGAGATTGGACTGGTGGCGACATCAAGTTAAATTGGCAGGGGGCTTATTATTCGTGTGTAGCGAAGTGGAAAATTGCAAGGCAAAGAGCGCCACCTTGTTAGCCTTTTGCCTCTGTTTCAAGACGAGTCTACGTGCACCATTCAAATGATAATACGTTTCACTCGATCCCATGCCCGTTTTCATGTAAATCAAACTCATTTTCATTTGAATGGTTTGCACTTGGACTCGTTTTTAAACGGAGGCAAAAGGCAACTCGGAAATAGCCTATTACGCATGGCGTCATTTGTGAATGTCTACGACCAAGGGTGGTGTGACAGGGAGTGAAAAGTTTTTTTTGTGAAAAGACTCGTCTTACTTTGTGAATTTTTACCCATAAACCATTTACTTCTCTTGTGCCTTTTTAAATGAAAAGAAATACAGTGATTGAAAAAGAAAAAAGAGCAATTGAAACAACTGTTCTACAAGCCCTTTAAATGACTCAAATTGAAATTAAAATTGCTACCTGCCAGCTTCGATCGATTCAAACCAAGCGATGAAGCGTGGAAAAATTAACGCGAAGAATTTATGGAAACAAGACATAACAAAAAATGTACACATTTTTGTTTTAAACTTTGATTGCATCACGCGCAACATAGCCCAAATTCAATTTTTCCGAGTGTGCTGTCATACGCTATTTTTTGTGTTTGGCAGAATCCGAATGTTAAGGCCCTGTGAAATTTTAGAAATGCGTCTCACTAGCTGTCCGTAAGATAAACGTTATCAAGAAATTTTAGACTTCAGCTGCCAAAAAGTTCAGTGGAATTGTAGCATCTTCTACACCCAGTCATATCTACAACCGCATCGAATGAATCAACCTATTTACGGCAAAATAAACTCAGGTAGATTTAGTTATAACTGGTAAAATGATTCATGAAAGTTACAATTTACAAAACACACACATTTATGAAAATACTCTATACATCAATTCCTATAAGTTAATAAACGGGCCCACTCACCTTCGATCGGAGCTATGAACTGACCAGAAGCTGTTTACACCCGGAGAGGTGGAATAACAACTGTGGTAAGTAAATGGTAGCGTTGGTTTTTATGACTGTTACTGACTGTATTGTTTGCCCAAGGTGACACTTCAATAAACTATTGTCATCAGGCATTAATTTTCATGAAGATCCGACATGCCATGAAACAAATGAAAAAGTACATTGTAGTCTTCTCATGATGTGTCACGGATGGGAGATCATAAAACGGCGCGACGCCCACAGCTTATACTTAAAAATATCGATTTGAAATTCTTGGATCGACCTAAGCAACAAGTTTATTAACTACGTGACCGCCCCTTAGTTTAGCCCCGATAAGTATACCATGAAGGATGGTGATACCAGTTTTTTGTTTTCAAATGTATTATTCCAGATTTTTTATTGCGCGCTACAAGACTTGCTATGCAGCGAAGTGAAAATAGAAAAGAATAGTTTGTTTCGTTTTCTTTCATTTACTTTTTTTTCTCTTTATGTAGCGTGGAATAATAGTTATGAATTAAGTAGACGCCTGGGTTGATATAAGAGTCACGCACATTTGTTTTCGAGCCTTTTTCATATGAACAGACGTAATCTACATATCAAATACTTCCAA